GGCGGCGGGGGTGGTGGTGGCGGCGGCGGCGGCAAGGTCGCGTCCAGCTCTAGCTGTACCAGTGGAGGGTGCAAAGTTATAGAAGACGCAGACCATTGGAATGTCAGGGTCAAGTCAGCTGCAGGTGATGTGTATGGAGTGGGCCACGAAACGAGTGCGATAAACTCTGATTGCATGTTGTAACATCAAGACTTTGTATTCCAGAACTCAAAAGCTGGAAACACGATGGACAATGGATTCAGCGGTCCCTTCCCGAATTATCCTGTAATAACAGGCTAAGCCCGTAATTACTACCAACAAGATGGGTGTGGTCATTTTGTACGGCCCCATCTTCCACTGATACAAAGAGCCGTGCAAGCCCAGCCAGGCCGGAGTGAAGCTGCTGCGACCTCAGCATCTCAGCCCATCCACACCTCGACGCTCCGTACCCCTGGTGGATGAAAATCCTTGGAATTGTGTTTGCCCAAGGTTCAGGAGGCTTATCCTCAAGGAGAAGTTTGGATCCGAGGAAGTTCTCGACTTCTTGAAGCAAAAGTCAGCCCCGGGGCTTCTATCAGTCTGCTGAGAATTCCCCGTCGGCGCAACAGTGTCCTCAGTCCAAGGTCACATACCAGACCCAGTGTTGCTCTACACATTTACAGCCCCCTCGGGTATGGAGTTTTTGGAGTCCCAGACTTCAGAATGTTGGCGTTCCCAGACCTGTCTTCTACATTTCAGGACCATGGGGCACGTGGGACTCCATCTTATGAGCTTCTCAAACTTTGCAGGTGTCAGCAATGCAGTACCCACACCTCCACAGGTGGTAAGTCCTGATTCTTCGGGGCCTTAGTGGTAAGAACTACTCGCGTTTCTTAGATGTGCCGTGCAGCGCAAGGGACAAATTTTCTTTTGGGTGTTTTGGTCCCACGCAGTCACACAACACAGGTGCTGATTGTTTAGAAGGCAAATAAGACCTGGGCTTCGGCAGGAGTCATATTGGATTTTTGTATGTCTTGACCGTGGTGGGAATTAAACACGTATTCAGGTAGGTTGACACGAGATCTGAGGACGTTCACCAAATGAAGCTTGACATCAATAACAGCCTGGTTGTGCGATGGCAATGACAGTCAGCTTATTGCGTTTCTGGTATCCACGGGTCAGTGAACCTTGGAGATCTTGGCAGGTGGCATGCTGGACTTTTCTTGGCGTAGTGCAGTGGGGCTTGATGCATGGACATGATGCGAACTGGCTTGGTGGTTGTAGTGGTGTTGATGGTTGTTGTTGCTTCTCGTGCTGCTGCCGTTGTTGCTGCGGCGGCTGGGGTTGTTGTTGCTGCGTTGTCGTGGTCGCCGCCGGTTCGCCGTCACCGCCGTCGCTTCGCAGTGGCAGTCAGCGTTGGATGTTGTCCGTGGCGTCCTGCTCTTCATCGTCCTCGTCCTTGTCCATGTTGTCCTCGTACATGTCATGCTCGTCGGCATCTTCGTCGTTGTTATTGTCGTTGCTGCACTGCTGGCGAGGGCTTTTGAAGTTATGATGCGGGATGTTGTTTCGTATTTGTTATGCGGGATGTTGTCTCGCAGCTGTGGTTGTGGACCTTTGCAACAAACCAAAATCACTGAACAAGTAGGGAGATCTGATTCACATTTGAAGGACAGTGAAGCTGGAGCGGCTGCACAGGGTTGTCAAGGATGAGCATGAGAAGCGCCGGCAGAAGGCACAAGCGACTTGTGCAGCTGTCGTGCATGTACAAGCCTGCCAGATATGAGTTCAGGAGATCGGCGTGACTGTTTTCTCTTGGGGAGGTTCATTCCTGCCCACCTGGGTTTGTGGGCTAGGGTCAGGGCCGGCAGTGATGGAGTCATGTCTTTGGTTGTCTCTGGCCAGATTCAGACACTGGTGACGTAATCATCGTTGTGCAAATTCCACCCTGTGCTAACAGTGGATCGCACATACCGATTAATATTTTCCAGGCAGCAAGAACAACCCTTTGATGCCGCTGCTTTCTCGGCGGTTTGCTGGTGCCTGTGCATGTCAGCACTGTTTGTTTTCACTGCGCAGGTGCTTGTGCACACAGTGTCCGGATTACTTGCAAGGCATGTCCCCATCAGTATAGCATGTAGCATGCAGTATATGTCCACTGAAAGCCCATCGCATCTTGTACTACCATGGGCGCCTTCTATCAAATTCGGATAAATTCGGACGACCTCGATATGCCAGGGGACGCCCTCAGCCCGCAAAAATGTGAGAAACCATCCGTTCGCATTTCTGTTCCTTCTGCATCGCCAAGGGTTTTCCCAAGGAGCGCCCCTTGGTCGGCGGCCAGCCAAACACCACTGGCAAACACAATCCTGGGCGTCTGCAATTTCTGTCAGCATGTTCAAAGGGCGCCCCACCGACGCCAAGAAACCTTGGCAGTGGCTGATGAATCTTTGGCAGACGCAAGGGAAATTATGACGGCCATATCAACTCTACGAGTCGGGGTTCAGCTGGGAAGACCACTGACAGTGGCAAGAAAGACGCGCCAGGGGATGTCACCATGTTGGAACTTCACTGGACAACCCTAGAGCCTGCAAGTGCAAAGTACAGCTGCTTCTTGAGGGGCGCCTCTTGGGCAGAGTCGGCTGTGCTCGAAAATGTACGCCTCAAGAAGCTAGCAAGAAGAAATCTACTCACTGCCGCCGGTAATAAGACATTGCCGTCCGATTATCAGATATCGGAGCTGATTCGTATTATAGCGTGCGGCTGCCTTATTCATCATGCGCTTCAAAGCTCCCAAGGTTCAACTGCTCAGCTGAACCCGTATGCCAGTCACATGCCACCCTGCAGGGTCACTTTACGTACGCCTTTGACGGGAGCATGCGAACACCAGGGACGGGAACTTGCGTCGATGCGGTAGATCACGCCGACCCTGCCAAACGTGGACAGCAATATGTTGCCACTGCCTTTGAACATGGTTGGAAAGGAGACGTGCGCTGTCCTTCACTGCTAAGACTAGTTCTTTGCTTTGCTTCACTTTTAAACTCTTTCCGCGCTGTCGAGAGATGCCAAGAGCTTAATTCAGAAGGTGTACTTGCCCGGTTCGTCCGCCCCATGCTGTCAAGGCGGAGGAATGCGGCATGAATCTCCGACGAAAAGCAGATCTTGCGGCAATTAAAGCGGAGAGTGCCAAGCCAGAGGATGTGCTTCGCCTTACAGATGGCTCCTGAGCTGCATGCAGAAATTGCCTTAGGCCTTCTCAGCACGCTGCAGGCATCTTTCAGGGAGTGAGTCGCAGCCCAGTGGAAACCCTGGAGGTGCTGTTGCCGCGCCGAGCACGGATGATGAGAATGCTTCAACGGACGTCGTCGTGGCTGACTTGGATTCTGCTCTCCACGCTGGCAACGTTCGAAACGATGTGCAGAGAGCCTCTCAAGAATCTTTGGGCCACCTGTTCTTCTCTTTGGATATGCGAGTGGCGGTGCAGATCTGCCATCCCCACCAGCTATCTAGGGCTTCAGGAAGGCTTTTGTGAGAATCGTCTTGAAACACTCCGGACCAAAGAAGCACAAGCCAGCAATGCCAGCACTCCAACTTCCATGGGCTTGGCATCAACAAGTTTTTGCAGATGTCACGTGAGGCTGCTCGAAAGAGTGCCCATCATTGTCATATGAGTCAATTTGGATTTACTGGATCTATGTGAGGAAAGAAAAGCTCATGCCCTCACATATCGAGGCTTCACCGCCGTGCTGACATTCTTTATAGCTGGCTGCAGCCTGCATCGCCAGATGTATATGAGCATTGATTAAAATTTAGAGGTGATCGTAGGAAAGTTCATATGTATGGACCATCAGCATTGCCAAATATTGCTTTCCGAAAAATTCGCGATGGCACTGCAAAAGGACTTTCTCTCGCAGAAAGTTTTGTGTATTCCAACTTGCTTACATGTCTAGACACTTGTTTGGAACAAAGGCGTCACTTCTTGGACCTGTTCTATTTCAATCCCATCCTTCTCTATTGGACTTTTAGGATACTGGAATCTTCTCCGTGCTAGAAATTCTTCAAGGTCTAGAAAACATCGACAAGCTGTCCCTCAGGAATGCTGAGGGTTCCGGCAGACAGCCTGTACTCCAATTGCAACATGTGCAGGGGCCGCCTGCTTGCACTAACTGTCGGATTTACACAACTCAGCATGGAATTATGCGCAGTGCAAGTGCCGCATCAGGCCAGTATCTGGAGCACCATCACTTTTACCATCAACTGTGTCCTCGATGTGCAGAACACAACTGGGAGAAGCGGCACCAGACCGCAGACATGCGAGGCATGATTTGCGTCTGGACCCAAGCTGCACAAAAATTCAAACCGGATGCACTTCCTTCAATGCTACATAGCAGCTACCACAGAAGAATGTCTTTTGGGGTTGTTCCCCATGTTCTTCTGCTGGAGTAGGCCAGTCATGTTGGCATGTTTGCGTTCATTTGCAGAATGATGCAAAGACGGCTGCAGATTACGCGTTGCAGCTCGAGGTGGTCACTGGTGGACGCGTCCGCATTGGTTTTCAAATAGCGGCGCTCTCAGGAAACAGCAATGCAGTCCCCAAGTTACAAAATTATTTCTTGCAATTTTCTTGTCTGAGGTTTTGAAATTACTTCGAGCCGGAGCATTTGTGCTGACAACAACGCGGTATCCGTGTGATTGTTGCTCGGTCTTGATTGCTGTTTGATAGTCTGATAGCCCCAACTCCTTCACCCTTGGTAAATTGCAGAAACCCAGCTTCCTCCGAGGTGCTCTTCGGTATTCCAAAGAGCCTGATTATCATGAATGGCGCGAGCGGTTGGAGGCTGCGTTTTAAACTGTGCCTAACACACACTGCCATCGCATTTGTCAGCCGGATAAAGCAAACGGATGCAAGCGGAGTCATTTTGGTGCAGGTATGTGGGCCGCTCGAACTCTGCGATATGCGGCTTGTCGAGCGCTTTTGCCAGCAGCTCCTGCGACGATTTCCACGCATTCACGTGCCGCGGTGTTATTAGCATCTTCAGATCCTGGCCAGTCTGCTCAACAGGCGTTGACGTGCTTGTTGCAGGTGAGTGTTCTGCGGAGCCGTTAGGAGGCTACATCTTTATTTCATGCAAAGTGAAAAATGGGTAAAGGTAAAGTCCTGTGCTGGTGTGAGGGCCAGCTCGGTCGCACACTCAATGCGGAATCGCCCCCATCAAGCAGTGGGTTGCTGCACTCACTAGTCCCGCCCGTACTTGCTCGAACTACGACGACAGCAAAAGCTCTGGCCCAGCCACCGCCACCCCCAGCAGCGAGGAGTCCGGCAGCAAAAGCCCGGGTTGATGCAGTTGCTGCTTTCTAAGAGGCTTCAGGTTGCGGAGTCTAGGGTTTAGGGTTTTGAGTTTAGGGTTGTGAGTTTATGCAATCGGTCATGGGACAATCCAGAAGCGTATCACTTGCGGATAGACTACAGAATGGAATTAGAAAGAGTGCGTGGAGAACTCAGCCTGTACGTCTGTGGAGTTTCCAATCAGTTGACAAGGTGCTTCATTAGGAATGGTGGGAGTCGTGTAAGCCGACTTAAGCCCCCTTCGAGAAGCCTTGCCAGCAAGGAACTGGCGAAGTATGCAAATGGCCGACGCGTAAATGGGCCTCCAATTAAGACTCTGGACTTTCAAATTAACTCTGAGAGGTTTCAGTGTCCAACCCAGGCATATCTGCCACGGGACGTTCATCCTTTTAAAAATTTGCCTCAGAACGAAAAGAAAGACCTTGACTTGTCGTGTGAGCGATGGTCTGGATAATTTAAGATGAATCAGCCTCATGCGCCCAGCACGCCTTTGCAGTTGTCGATCTCAGAGCTAGCGGCCGCTTGCTCACAGGAATGCCAGAACTGTTGACTGGAGAAAGCCAGCCAGTAGCTCTTGAAAGCTGGATATACAATTCAATCCGGGAAATTCCAGGTGAATCATGAAACCAACGTTGCTTGCACAACCAAGACCACAAAACCACGGCAAAAGGTGCATGTTGTAAGAATCCTACAGTGTCAAGCGATTGATCCCATGAAGGCATACTACAGTGTTTGTCACTTCTCATCATGCACAGTCGCTCCCGTTGAAAAGTCCAAAGGTCCTCAACTGGTTCCGCCGTTTTTGGCGTGGATGTATCACGATGTGCTTTTGATAGCTGTGTGGCTGCCTCCTGAAGTTCCGACGGGATTTGGCCAAGTTTGCCATCCTCCTGAAATTGGCGTATGAACGCCTCATGGTTGACTCGAAAAGCATGACAACGATTATTATTGGCCGCCTTGGCTTTGGAATCTGCCATCTGGTTATGATTTATACACCAAAAATCCCAATCTGAAGTTGCATGAAGTGGATCCCGATGACCACGGACCTTAATGGCTTGCCATCGCCCCGGATCGTCACGAAGGTGATCCCAAACTTTCTTCGGGTTGTGAGTTTAGGGTTACGGTTTAGGGTGGCCCTCAGCAAATCTAGTAACACACCCGAGAATTCATCACACAGGATTCCCTTCGAGGATCATCCGATAAAATTGGATCGATACAGCGAAGATAAGAACGGCCCCTGCGCTAGGATGACGTGCGCAAATCGAGAAGTGTACCAAGATTTTTGTGCGTCTGGTGCGCTGGTAGCTTGGCGTCCGTGGCGCGTTGTAAGCCTTTCTTCTTTCCTCCTCCACTGCAAGGCCTTGCAGCTGGCGCAGACCCGTGCCTGCTTTCGATCACCATTTCAGCGCCAGCGAAAGTGCGCGGTCATCTCCGTTCAAGATGCGCATGAGGAACAACTTTGCTGGCATCCTCAGGCTCACCTGAGCTAGGAGTGCTACAATGCCGCTGCCATGCTGTCCTTCGTTCAACCACAATCTGGCCATTGTTCTGACTTGCCGTTTCTGCCCTTTTTGCCTTGCTGTCGGGCTCCTCTTCCTAGCAGCCACTGCTTCAGTTGTTTAGTTTGCACCAAGAGTAAACCCGCGCTCTTGCGAATAGCACGCTGGTAACTAAGCCTGAAGGCCTCTGACAGCACCACAAGAGCCACTACCGTATCACGCGTGGTCCTGTCGATTAATGTTTGTTGTGTCCAGTTCTTGGCCTATGTGGCAGTTGCTTACGGTAATGGATTTCTTCACAGTCAGGTAGAGCGTTCAGTCATTAAACTTGTAAATGGGATACTGGGGGCTGCAGAACGCAGGTTGGAACAGAAGCTGAATTTCATTGCACGCCAGGGGTGGTTCAGACGAGCTTCGGTTTTCCTGGGGGCGAAGCGCGAAGCTCCGAAGCTACTAGCTTTACTTGCTTCATAGCTTCGGGTGAAGCCATTTGCTTAATTTTTCCCGGGGCAAAGCGCGAAACTCCGAAGCTACTAGCTTCACTTGCTTCAGAGCTTCGGGCAAAGCCAGTTGCTTCATTTTTCCTGGGGGCAAAGCGCGAAGCTCCGAAGCTACTAGCTTCACTTGCTTCAAAAGCTTCAGACGCTTCCCGAACCAATCTGGCAGTCCCTTCTTAATTTGTTGTGGTGCCCTGACCCATCACACTCTCCTTCTCTCCACCTCTCTCTACCCTTCATATCCTTATCTCTTTTCCTCGTTTCTGTTCCAAAAATGCGTTCCGTATTGAATGAGTCATGCCGAACGTCATAGTGGAAATCCGTATTACTTTCCGTAACTATGATGTCCGTGTGCGCGTGCACCCTGATTCTGATCTAAGCGTGCCTGGATTGCGCCTACATGATGTGATTCATGACTTGCGTTCTACCAGGGGGCCTGAGGCTTACTGACAGGACTCTGGCCAACGAAGACTCTTTCTGACGCTGGGATCACGTACCTGCATGTACACAGTACCGGCCTTTTCTCCGTCAGAGAGAGTTTTCGACCGCAAAACCAGACATCGAAAGGGCTTCATGAATTCATGTTGCCGCTTGTCATGCATGAGTATGCCTCAGAGTGCAGGCATTCGTGATAGTCTGTCAGAACAGTTTTGTGGGACCATCTCTCATGGGAATCCCTGAGGACCCTTTTCGAACAGGGAAAAGCAATTGATCTCTTAGAGTCCGTGCATGTGTTCAACCTGTTGTACATACAGGAGTGGGGTCATGCCTGATTTACTTACTGTTGATAGGGGACAGGGTGGAACCCTGTCCAACGAAGTTCCTCCACCGCACGAATCCCTACATGGGCAGCTGGTGGGACTTCACCCCTCATTTCATTTCCATCTCATCCATGCAATGCCGTTCCCAGAGTTGGGCGCAGCGGGGCAAGACCTATATCCACATATTCATCTGATTTTCATTCTGCAGCTATGCCGTCGAAGGTGGTTAGTCCTGTCTAGAGATCAGAGCATTTGCACTTGCTTCGTCAGAGCGTGTGGGTTCTAATCTTTTTTCTTTCCATCAAACTCTTACATTGATCAGCCTTACCAGTTTCTGAGGTTCGTATACAAGAAGGTATAAGGACTTGAGTCTACATGGCCGTACCTTCATCTGACGGTATCAGCCATATCAATGACATCCTTCCATATGTTTTTGTTTGGCTTGCTTTCCTGCAACATTCACAAGTGGCTCGATGCTCTCAACCCCACATCTCCCCGCAATCAAACCGGGACTATTTCGTGATTGTACACATGTGAGCGAAAGCTACAAGCAAAGCTCAAACAATGGTCCCGCGAAACACATTCTGAGTCACTTTGTTCCTCCACAGACAGCTTGAAGTAAAGATTGGGTGCCCAATTCGCTATCCTCCAGCCCTCCAGCCGTCCTACCCTCAAACGTTCCAACTTTTCCGACCATCCCGAGGCACTGCAGCCTTTCCACTTTCCTGACCTGTTGTAGCCTTCCAATCCTCAGCTCGCCTAGCAGCCTTTCTTTCAGCCTTCCTGCCTTCCTGCCAAAAAGCTGGACTGGAGAGCTCTACGATCGCGGACTCAGGACCTCGAATGGACAAGCGTGTGTTCACGCACTAGCTTTTACATGAACTTGAAGCTTTGCCAAAGGAGGGAATTGTTGTTCAGAATTCATGTATTTCAGTTTTATTCCATGCTAGTATGAGTGTCCCGCGTCACGGGGGCCACCTCTTTCTCAGCCTGCTTATGCCTATGCAGACAGGAAGCATCATCATCATCATCATCATCATCATCATCATCAATTTGTAGGCTGCGCGACACATTTCCTTGTAGAGCCTTACAACATCAAAAGTTCCGTGCCCCACGTACCACATTTCATGCAGATAGCCCCTATGGAACTTCTCATGCAGATGCAGGTGACCTTGCGGAGACCTGCAGATTTTGGCAGTCCTTCTTGAGCCTCGCTGCAGGTTCTTATCAACAACGCAGCGCAAACATTGACTCGGCGGGATGGATGGAATGCTCGTATGGCCGAGCTGGAAGGCAGAGCTGCCACGGCCTTACACTGGCCAATTGACATTTCCCGAAACCGGAAGCTGTGTTGTCTCCAAGGCTGCGAGCATCAATGGCCTAGCAGCTACTCGGACAGCATGTCCCACCCAATGCTCAACATGCCCTTCTGTTTGTGTGTGTGTGTGTGTCAGCTTTGTGCTGCTTGGCCCGCTTTAGCATCAGCCAGATGAACTGAGTGTCATGTAAAGGCTTTCATCCATGCACGCCTACTTTTTTGGACTTTTCTGTTGAAATTTGCACGCAGCAGCTGCTGCGCAACATACACTGATTCCAACATGCAATGTAAATCCCACAATCCCACATCCTGTGGTGGATAGGCGGTTTGTGTGGTTTCGTCCAACACAGCCATGCGTTTCTGTGGGGATGCTTTCTCCAGTTCTGCATTAGCACCTCTATAAGGCGATTCGCCAACCTGCGCAGCTCAGCGAGATGGCTTTGCCTTGCCCTCCTGGAGAGCGATTGGATGTTGTCCCAATTCCAGATGCTAATGCTGCACGGCTATTCATTGGCCAGTCTTTTGCCGACAGTCAGTGTGGTGAGCCTAGGTCATGTGGACAGAGGCTGCAGCTTTGGAGGCCATTCCGCATCTCTGAAAAACAGGTCTTTGAGACTCTCTCTGGAAGGATTTCCCGAAAGGGCGGCTTGATGACTCCAGACAGCCACTAGATCTCTCGGCCCAGAACAGCTGGAGCCATGGCTGCAGAAATAATCTCTTCAAAATTTGAATCAATGTGGCTCAGACTGGCCCCTAGACCAGAGCAATCCCAATCGCAACTGGAAGCCGCGACTGCTTGCAGGTCCAGACGTTTGGAGGAGGCTGCTTGGAAATATTGTTTGTGGGTACGCATCTGCACGTTAAAACACTGGACTGAGGTTGACACCCTGGAGCTTCTGCAGACGCTGGCGGCAAACACTGCTGCCCCGTTCATTCTCTGTAGCAAGCTTGCAACAGCTACCTGTCAGCATGCTGAGACTACGCGCGTGGTCATGTGATTGCTCTGATGCTTCAGGCATTGGCTCCAAAAGAGGAGTCTGAACCGTATGGTCACATTGTCAACGTGAGTGCCACGCTGTTTTGACACTAAGCCCTTGATTTATTCATGTTTGAGCCTGTCCACTGCAGGTGCTTTGGAGGGCAAATTTTCCGTGAAGAACAAAAGCTCCGGTCACCCGCATACAAATATGGCAAAGGCGGCGCTTAACATGATGACACACACAGCCTGCAAGGACTTGTAGGGCCAGCGGTGGCAACATCTCCTGTCACAACAAGGTAAGGGGTGGACTGAGCTTTACAAGCCTGTTGTGAGGACATGTATCGTCGCCGGATTTTGATGAACTGCGCCTGTGACCTAGCCTGGTCTCATGTCATGCCTTCGAGAAAAGTGGCCAAGGTGGACACGGGCTGGGTGACGGACATGGCACCCGGTGGTGTGGGTGCTGTTGCTGCCAGCCACGAGACCTGGGTCGGTCCGCCTCTAGACGAAGAGGACACTGGTAGAACCAATTCCCAAATGCATGAGACAGCTTTGCAGGATGGGGCAGCTCGAGTTCTCGATCCTGTCTTCAGCCACCTTTTGGACGAGACATGGCTTCTGCGCGGAAAATTCTTCAAGCGCCTTGGAAGCGGACAGTCTCACTCTGCAACATCATGATGAGCTGCCATAGTTGAGTTCTCACTTATCGGTCTTCCAATTGAGCTGCTTTTGGCAGCCCTTGCCTTTGTCAGGGCGTCTGACTTTGCTTCTTTTGGGCTGGCACAAATCCAGCCAATCTGTTTTTTGTGGGTTAGCAACAGCGCATGAGCGCGTTGTAGCTAAATGTATGTTCTTGTAGCCTTGGCCCTCAGCAAATCGTTGCGCCATGACCCTTGGAATCCCTTGATGGCCTGTTCCGCATTATCTGGAGGTCATTCACAACTGCCCTCTGTGCACAACACGTGGTAGGCAAGCGCAGACTTGGTTTAGAGTCACTTGTGCTGGTCCTGTTGCCACTATACTTGCTAGTGACTAGTGTGATAGGGATGTCCAAGTTCAGGTATATTACACTTTGCTACACATCTGTGTACGACATCTTTCCGAATTTCCAAACATCTCCTCACAGATCACTTCTCCCGATCGAACTGATTTTGTTACAGCCTGGCTTTCTGGTGGTCTTCCCCCCGCAGATTGGTCTCGGACAGCTACAAACTCATAATGATGCTTTGAGACTCGAACGTTAGCTTTGTTCTTGAACTTGAACGGCAGTACTGCAGTTCTCTAGTGACGTCATCGTCGCGATGTTGCTTTGTGATTTTGCTAAACTGCAGTGCTGCATTGCACAGAGCAACCCGCCACACATCCCTTTACATTTTCACTTCTCCAGCCACTGCTTCGCGGAGATGACGACATGACCTCCCCCACTAATCCCATAACGATATTGCGGATCTACTGCGACCTTGTGCAAACCAAGAACACGCAGCCAGGCTTTTACAAGCAAACGCAATCGGAGAGCCTGAGCATTGTACGATGTTGTACGCATGGAAGCTGAAAGCGGAAGATTCGCATCACAAGTCTGCAAGAGCAGTTGCTGTCTGTCTGACCCGAACCAAAGGAACTATTATGCCACTTAGCTGAATTTGGCATGCAACACCTGTTGTCAGTTTTGCCATGTTCGGACCCGTGTGGAGGTTTGTGGATGGTGAACCTCCTTGCGGTGCTTCTTGTGAAGGCGAGAACGTCCGCGCGTCCAAATGTCTGCAACGTCTGCAATGCTGTCTGCGATGCTGATGTATGCTAATGTAACTGAGAGCGCAGCCATGTTCGGCCCACTTGCTTTCCTGAAGTTGTTGACTCTGACAGAAGCAGCTTATACATCAAACCAAGCACAAACACGCCTTGACACTACATTACACTATGCACACGTCACACGTCGCAGGTGAGGGATGCAGCTGTAAGACACCAGGGCAAGAGCGTGTGAATTTCCATTCTGCAGGTTGATGCGGTGACAAACAAATACGAAAGCAATTTAGATAGATCTCATCGGACGATGAGCTCAGCAGCATGGGACCAGCCCGACAAGGATGTTGCTTCAACTTCAGAGACGTTGAATCCACCAGCTGCGCCGGAGAGGCCACCAAGGGGTATCCAAGTTCTTATAACTTGAAGCCTCGATTCAGGCTGGCCGAACAGGCTCGGCTCTTGGACTACACCACATCACTTGCTCGATGAGGTAATTTCCCCTCAGCATTGCAGATTGACATTGCTTTTCGCGTCTTTTCACTGAGCCATCTTCTTGCATGTCCGCTGATTCCTGAGCCTGAGCGTTGGGGAACCATGGCTCCGCTGTCCCCAGGGTGATCATGAAAATAAATCTCAAGCTTTCTCACAACTGCCATATCAGCCAATTATTCTGACACCATCTCAAACCACTACCCAGGCTCCCGCTGAGAGGTTGCAGCTTGCCCAGAGAGACACAAGGTTTTGCTTTCGGCAGTGTGGAGTTGTATCGATCATGTTGCATCTTGCGAGTGTGGAGTCAGGCTTCACTTCGATGGAGCTCGAGCAGTGTTTGCTCTGTGGATTGTGCACCGTCCTCAGAGTGCAAGTTTTTCCGCTGTCATGGCTCTCGCACGTGTCAAAAGGATTGGCATCTCCCCACTCTCGCGTTGACTCTTTTTTTCCTTCACGTTGGGCTCACATAAGCAATCTGGTCCTTTAATGGGGTTGGGCTGCAGCCCACGCAATCATGCCGGTGGAAAAATTGCCGGATGAAACCCGCCCTTGCCAATTTCAACTTCAAAGAGCACCTTTGATGAAGTCGTTCAAGTCTTACCTGCGAAGTGATTTTTGGGGGGCTTGTCTGGAGAGCCATCAGAGTTGTTGGTCATGACCTGTGCGGTAGTATACAGCCCACGCCGTCCTCCTGAGAACAGAGCCGTCAGGGGTCATGAGCCCCATCTTGCAAGATGAAAGCATCTGAAATAGCAAATATGTAACAAAGCTTGGCTCCATGCGTCATTGCAGCCCTGAGCACCGGACGGTCCTCCGGACTGCATCCAAAATCAGAATTCTCGGAAAATATGGTACCACCAATTGTGCCGCATCATGCATTCATTGAGACTCGGCACGTGAACAGTTGGGGCTCCTCAAAACTGCTTACAGCAAGACTCATATTTCGGCACGTTGCAAGGGAAGCGAAAGAGAAAGGCAGACACCAGAGAGAAGAATTCCACTTTGCAGCTTTCGGTGGGCAACTGTGCTTTCACTCCACCTGACGGTTATGAATTTTTGTTGTTGATGAATGGTAGCCCTACCTCAGGGAACATGGCAATGTGCACCTTCAAGCAGAAGACCTAAATTGGACGAAGTCGTGGGGTGTATCTCTTGAAGTGGTTCGCAAGCGGAGGGAGCAAATCAATGGCAAATTCCAGGCAGGCAGGCAGGCAAAGAGACCGCAAGCAAGATATCACAAGATGTTGAATGCCTTGAAATGCCATTATGTGTTCATTCATCCCAGGTGCCACCACATGGCCCCAAGAGAACCAGCTATGTTGTTGGACAAGATGCTTGTCCGTGCCAACCTTGATTGCAAGCAGTCGGAGTGCATGTGTTACGACCGGAAGCAACCAACTCAGGTGTTGACGCTTTGGGCCCAGTTTGGCTTGGCCTTTCGTTTTCAGAGTGCTCGTGCCATCTTGTGCTCAACACTCGCTCCAGCACCTGCAGCCACCATGCCAAAGGTGTGTGTCGAATTCTTCGTGCTGCTTTCCGGTTTCATGACTCATTATGTGTACCACGGCAAGGATTGTATTTGACACCGTGCCTTATTTTGCCTCCGTCACCCGGATAAGAACATCTCGTATGCCGCAAGTCCTTATGGAGGACATCGACTCCTCATTTGGGTCCTTGATGGCATTTGTCGTGCGACGAGCCTTCCGCTGCTTGCTCGTGCCGCCCCCGTTGCCCTGTACTCTAAGTACACACTTTGCGGCTGTTGATATTCAAAGCGCCGCATTCCATAAGCTGCCAGCCATCAAGCAGGCAAGCTACTTGGGCATGGTACTTTGCACCCTGACGCTGTGGCTGTCGTCTTAGTAACCGAGCTGTCAAGATGCAAGCTGCGTCCTGGAGTTAGCGCAAAGGTTGGGCGGTTTCGAGGTTTGGTCCTTCAAGACTTTGAGGTGCAGGTTACCCATGTTTGATAGCACGCATGTTGACAGCAGTTTATGGCCAGCTGTTTTCTCCTCATCAAGACCTGGATCGACCCGGAGCCTGACTGCCCTGGGCCTAAAAAGCAGCGACCCATGTCTGAACAAGCTGCATCCAGCCTGAGTGCCATGAGGCCCCAACATGCCTTCATGGTTTTTGGTCTCCCTGCTTCCTTCATGGCGCCCTGGCTAGCATGCCTTTGTTGATGCTGACCTTTTCGATGACGCTCGTTGAAAAGGGTGGCCGCCACAAAGTGGTAATGCCATGGATGCTTCGATGCAAGGCTGCTATATCCTGTGATGAGACCGATGCTCACATGGCCTGGTTCTTGGCGTTGCAGAACGGGGCACCTCGTACAACCCACTTGCAGATGGCCGCACAAGCTTCTCTTGGAAGTTGCTGAAAGTAGCTATCAATCTTGAAAGAGACCTGCCTATTTCTTGGTGCAGCATCTCAGGAACAGATCTGCAGGAGGGCACATGCCAGGGACAGAGATGATGCAAAATATTCTTTTAGCATTTTGCAGCTCTGTGCTGGTCATGAGGTGCTTGGCTGTGACGATTTGGTTCGTTGCCATAGCCCCGCAGCACCTACCTAATTTCTTGGGTTCATGCCTGCCGCAACACAAAAACGAAAGATTGCTGCATTAGGTTGTGGCTCATGTGGGCTGCTTACACTGTTGCAGCGAGATGCGGCAAGCAACGCTGCGCTGCGTAGCTTCTTTCAGTCTTTGCCAGATTAGCCAAGTGCAAAGTGCAAGGCTCTCTCGCATGGCCTGGCTGGAGTGGACCGAATTCACGTTTACTTGGTTTTGGCCACCGGCGCTGCTGCCAGACTTCGCGTGCTTTGCCCGCAACCTCCTTTGTTTTTTTTTTTCTTCGTTTGCTTCCGAAGTTTAACCAGCCGCAGTGCAGGCTCGGTGCATGCACGGCAGCAATGGTGCGGCGCGTGATGCTTTTTCCTGGCTTGTCAATGTGCCCTCGGTTGAAATTGCTCCAAGAGGTACTCCGCAGGCCGCCGAGTCCAGCTGCCAGTGGCAAAGTGATGGCTGATGATGCACGAGAAAGCTTTGCCAACACGCACCTCCAAGGTTGGGTGGATTGGGGACGTGGCGTTGCTGATGCTTCTCATTACCTGCATGCTGGCAGGGCATGCTGGCATTCTGCAGCTTTCCTTGTCATGGATCGCCACAGGTTCCGGTTCCCGAAAGACCACCGGACTGGGCTGGGCCGGACCAATGGAGGCACTTGGACAAAATTCGGCAAAGATCCTTCCATGTCCTTTGGATTCGAAGCAGGCCTGGACACTACATCGCCTGGGAGCAGCTGCCCGAACCTCAGAAACTGCCTTGTTTGTTGGACCGGCAAGGCAGTGTCACATTAATGTTGCTTCGCACATGCCAGATGGCCTAGTGTGCCCAGCGTAAGCTCCAGGGAAGGTCATGAATACTGCCTGCGCGCATGCATTCACCTGACCTGGAAGTGTGACGAGCTGCAGCCTTTCGTACCAGTCCAACGGTTTCCAGCCCTGAGAGGGTGATGTTGCAGAGGTCGGCTCGACTTTCCGCTCCATGCCTTTGTGCATTCCTCTACTGCCACAGCGGCTCGTTTGAAACCCTGCGTGTTGTGCACGGGCAGACCTTACAACGCAATCCATTCAGGGCATGTGCTATCACAGCATTTAGTTTCTTTCTGTGGGCCCCTGTCCTTTCGCGTGCTGTTTACGGCGAAATCCTTGACTTTAAGAGCAAGGCTTCTGTAACACAACAGTCATGGGCTGTTTGGGCAGAATTTTGGCGCCACTTGCCTAGTGTATAGCTGCATGGATTTGAACAATTCAGCCGCAGCCCCAGCCCCTGCCTACCTGCTCCGTTTGCCAGATACATCGCATGCAAACTCAGTCATCGCCCGCATCCTTTCCCAGAAGATCTTGGCCGGCCTGGCAAGAACTGACTGTGTGAGACGTGTTTAGCATAGCATCTTGTGTGCCCAGCGGGTACGAAGGTCACGCTTGGCAGCTACACTTTGGAGGTGTACTTATTGCAAACGGCAGTGTTTGACCCCCAGTCTTGCAGCTCCGGACCAGACTGTGTGTACACGAAGGCAAATAGGCAGGGCATGCTCAAAGGTTTTGTTTTTGGCAACGTGACCCTGCAGTATGCAAGAGCAGGGTGTGAGATGGTAAGAACAGGCTTGATTTTCCAAACGGATGCAACACAGCCTACCAATCACTTACCTGAATCGGCGAGAGACAGGATGTAGTTGCAAGCTGTTTGGAAAGGGGTGTCTGCCTGAAGCAAAGAAGAACAACGACCATTGAGCATGTTTCCGCAATATTGTGGCCGTTTCAAGGCGCAGTCGCTGGTCATGCCAATACTACATTGCTTCGGTTGCTAAATTTCGGCTTTCAGGTGTTTTGCTGTGTTTCACCAGTTGAGAATGTCATTCCGCGCTGGCTAATCCGCATGAGGAGATCATGGTCGACGCGGTCTTGCAGGTGTGTGGTCCTTACCTGCCTGTTGGCAGGTGCTCGGAACCTGAGATTCGAGCAGATTAACTTCAGTGGGATGCCCACTGTTCTTGCCAGCGGCCTGCAGACCTCCACCGCATTGGTAGAGGACCGACGAGCGACGCGGTCGGCTGTGGGCGGAACTGTGGCTGTGTCACCGCCCCCAACAATACCAGCAGCTACGTCTGAGCCATCCTGGACGGAATGCTTTTTGGAGTCGCCGTCCGGAGAGGATCTGCAAAGACAAGACATGCAAGACGTCGAGGTTTGGCTTTTCCGCAGCGATACCAGCGCAGGGTTTGAAAAGTTCTTGAAACATCGCCATTTTGGTGCTGGAGGTGACACAGCAAGATGCCGAAGCATCAACCCTGACAGCAGCATACAATGCCTGGAATGCACTCGGATTATTTTCGGCGGTGTGTATGGATCGATTGGAGTTGTTGTGCCAGCCTACCCACCCGAGAGCCATGCAATTGGCTGCTTGTCTCGGAATCGGATAGTGGAGGCGGACTTTGATGACGATGACAATTATGACGGCAATCCAACACAGGAGGTCGCATTGTGTAATTCTCACCGCGGGCAGCTCGACAAAGCAGTTGTTCTGGATGCGTGACAGCATCTCATTTGATAAATGAAAGCAGTGCAACGCTTAAAATGATAGGCCTGGGCCAGGTAGATGCTGTGATTGCTGTGACAGGGCCTATTCTAAATGATTATTCCTCTTGCCGAAGGCATGACCTTTTCCTTTGGATTCGAGCGCCGGGTGCAGGAGGTCTGGATTCGTCACGTCAATAAGTCAAGAAGTACGGCTGACCACGTGAGACAAGGTCTGTGGCCTGGCTTGCCATGGACACTGCAGGTGGATGGCATCTGCCTTACTTGCCATGGACATGCAGGTCTTTCTCCAGCATGCAGGTCTTTTTGCTCTACCTATGTGTACTTTGGCTGTGCTGCGCAGCTTTCGCAGAAGTTGTTGCCGGGCACTCCGACCGAACAGCCTATCCGTTGCTGAGTTGGTTCTCTGTTAGGCAGAGCCGCTGAACAGCAGAGTCAAGCTGGCAAGCTCACATTGGGCCACTCAGTAGCACGCTGCTTTCCATGCAGTCCACCTCAGAAGAATGCAGCAATCCCCAGGCAGGAAGAACTCTGCATCAAGCTCAGTCTCATTTGCTGATGTTGTCTTGACACGTAGCTGCCATTGACTTGGATGGTCTGCTGGCAAGGTCTCAATGTTCCCGGGCACCTGAACCAGAGTACGAGCAAGTTGACCAGTCCTGCAGTTAAAGAGAGGCTGTGGAGGCGAGAACATGCAACTGTGCACAGCGCAACTGCTCGGAGCATCTTGGTTTCTACCAGGCTCTCGGCTCAAGCACAGAAGTACAGTTCAGACACTCAGAAACTTGTAAGCCAACCAGCTAGGAAAGGTTCGACTTGCTTCGGGTGATCAGAGGTTCAAAAATAAGCATGGCCGTGGATGACGCGATGGACGAGAGGCAGTTTTGTTGGTGCATGTTGGAAGTGATGAACGCTGCGTTCATGATAGAAAAGTTGAGGTGTCCTGCCCCAGCCAAAGAGCCGCCAACCTCAGAACTCCTTGTTGTGTGTTGTGTCAGCTGGCCGACTCTTGCACCTTTGCTCTCGCCAGGTTTCTGTTGCTTCTGGCTCACATTGAAACTACGCTGGGCTCAGGCTGTCTTGAGGCATCCTGCTTTTGCGAATGAAGCGTTTACCATCAGCTTCGCGCAAGTTGTAAGCTGAGAGGAAGATGGAGATCCCGAGCTTCAAATGGCGAAGGTGTGATTTCCGAGCATAAAGAAAACCTCAAGAGCTGTTTATCAAGGCTTCTTCCTTTGCAAGGGCCCTCACTGCAAGATTGCAGCACGGCTCTGAGCTGACTGCTGGCTGATGCCGTGACTTTCTGATTGTTGCTGAAGTGTCTTGAATGATGCAAGGCAGTGGAACGCCCTTCCAGCACAAACTTCGGAACAGTACAGGACCCGAATTGAGAACTTGAGTATGCCTGGCTGAGCTTGCGGACTTGGTCGAACCCGGCATTTCTCAGGGTAAGCGTGCACCGGGCCGAGAGAGCAGGGCAAAACCGAGTCTGCCAGGCAACGTGTTGGCTGATGTGCAGCATAGGCTACAGCCTCAGGAGGGCTGCTCATTGACAATCTTTCCAGAAAGCCAAGCTAGTGGCGAGAAATGCAGGCGCAAACTCGACGAAGCTCCTAAAGCGGAGGTTGAGGTAATCCCAACAGGTCAGTTTGATGGCCATGATGAGGCCAGCAAACATGCCATCTTTCGGGGCTGCTGCTCTAGTTGGCGTTGCGTCGCCGTTGTCGTGGCCGTGGTCGTGGTTGTTGCCGTCGTGGTGGTGGTTGTTGCTGCTGTTGTTGTTGCTGCTGCTGCTGTTTTTGCTGTCAACATCCTTTAAACCTCTCGGCTCGGATGACAAGACAAGCCTTGTCACACAAAGCTTCCGCTGCCAAGTGGCTTGGCACTGAGCTGCTCCAGTCCCATTTCCGGAGGACGGATATTGAGAAACAAACATACATCGTTAGACGGTTCCGAATTTACGCAGCTCGGGGAGCCAGTCATCTCCTGGTGGATGTTTGGTCAAACAGCTAGTCCGACGCAATTTCAAACCATCAATGGATCACAGGTGCGAAAGAGCTTCACGCAAGGCTGCAAGGGAGGGAGGTGCAGAGTACAGGGGCCAATCTTTGACAATGCGTTATTACGCCAATTAAGAGGAAGACTGGCCATGCTGGAGGGGCGAATCAGGTTCGCGCAGACAATCATTACATGTGGGTCTCGGGGCTTGGAGTTGTGGAGGCCTTCGTACAACATGGGCAGAATTTTTTTCGCTATTTTAGCGACCAAAGTATTTTGTGAAATGAAAGTGGCGGCCTTGACAGCGACGCAGTGGAAGGAGGAAGTGCGGGCCTATTGATGCTGCTTCACAAGGACCTTGCCAATGCCGAGTCCATTCGTTTCCAAACACTAGGCCCAGGCAAACTTGCGCACATATGCATTCCTCATGGTCAAAAGAATCTTGACTTGGTAACGGTGTATCAGTATGTTTGGAGGACACGGGACGCGACCTCGGGCAATCTGGAAGTAAGGAAAAGCTTATCATATAAGCTAGACAACTTGCTCAGATCATTGCCAAGTGGGAACCAATTTGTAGTGGCAGAGATGTCAGTACTTCTTTCCGCAGTGGCGGAGGAGTTGGGCCCTCAGTACGCAAGGAACAGCAACCAGATGCTCGCAGATTGCAATGTTCAATAGAGATAGAAGATCATGGATTACTGGTCTTCACACACTTGGGGATCCAAGCAGAAGGCCATTTTTCATTTTGCGCAGAAGGACTAAAGGATGGACTTTGTCCTAACGGGGCCAGCGCGGGCCAAAGGCTGTAGCAAGGCCGCGTATCCGGACATGCATTTCCCAGTTGCAGCCTAGCGTTAGAGAAAGCATTACCTTGTGAGAGCAGAAGTCGTATCTTGCGGCAGAAGCCGCTCAACAAACCTCCCAATAAGATACGATGCTGCAAGGCTGGACGAAGCAGTCCGCTCTGGCACCAACATTCTCGGCCAGTACAAGGACAAAGTGGAGCACTTGACGGTACCACTCGATTGGTGGACGCAGCGGAGGTGGTATTTCCGCCAAGAAGAGTGAGCAATCAAACGACTTCACTCAAGGACACATACTCAGGCATGGAGCCGAGCTCTCAACACGCGCCATCATTAGCCTTACACGCCACTTCCAGTTAGGCCTTGATGGACGACGGAGGGCCTCCTGTTGCCATCAGTTTTGCAGATTCACGGCTCCAAAGAGACTCGTACCTGTTTCGTCTACGAAGTGCATAGCATGTCCCTGTTGTCCATGTTTGGGGGAGCCGCAAGGGAGGTCAGTACCAAACCGGAACACTTCCGGCATTTCAGCCAGTAGGCTATAGGTCCAGCACGCCAGATTTGGTCACTCGCCTCATGCCGCGCAGGCTTCCTGCTGAGACCCCGGCAATGCGTTTTGAGATTAAGGAGGTGGAGATGCACGCCAATGCTCGCCTTTCTGGCAAAGCTTGAAAATCGGGCCAAAGTGAATGTGATAAGAACACTTTCCAAAAGTACTCAGCGTTCCACAATAGCTAAGCAAATTTCTCGGCCACCCAGGAGATGATACATTCACATTTACGCGTGTCTTCCTGCAATGGCACAGGTCACACATCGCAGCCTAAGGAAGGTACGTGCAGCCCCATGCTCCTGTCAGGCAAGTATATACAGCAAGCTGGGAAGACGCGTCCCGGTAACCTGGACCTTCTCCACTTATGTGCGTGAGGAGCCAATGCCAGCCGTCACAGCATCCAGCCAACAGTCGCCGGTCGCCACCAGGAGCAGAGCTTGCTGCCCGGAGACGTCAAAAAGGCAACGTCATCTCTTCAGTGGATGTTAGGCACGAACGTAACTGCTTCTAGCGCTGGTCGAGCAAACTGTTTTACCAAAGTAGGGCTCGCCACTTGGGACATCCATACAAGCAGGATCTACAGGGCAGCCAGGGACTTCAGTGATGCCCAGGCTGTTGTTGGGTGAAGTCAAAACGCTTGGAGCGCTGGCAGAGCTATGAATCTGCAGCGCCGAGAGATTGCGGTCTCGATTACTCATTACTCACGCTTTCCGGAGTAGGGCTCGACGCCAGCGCAGCAGAGGCAGCCACATGCTCGGCAAAAGAGATCCATGGCATGCACCCAACAGCAAGTGGTCGTCAAAGGGCTCGCGTCCAGAACCATCGTCCATCTCACATGGCAATGATTTGGACGCTGGCTGCAGTCTCTCCCTCACTCCAACGAAGCAACCATTAGAACAGGTAGAAGCTCGTAGCACAAGATCCAAGTTTCACAAGCATCACGGACACGCACTGCGAGATTCACCAGCGTCGTAAGTCATTGATTGATTGATTGATTGATTGATTGATTGGTTGGTTGGTTGGTTGGTTGGTTGGTTGTTGCTGTTGTTGCCCCTGGTGGTGCTGCTGTTATTGTTGTTGTTGTTGTCGTTGCTGTTGTCGTTGCTTTAATTGTTATGTTGTTGGTAACGGTTGCATAACGGACCGTGTGGTCTTCTGCGCGTCAGCATGAGGGCGTGAAAACATCGGCAGAGACGGCAGGTCTTGTTCTCGCCGGGTTGAAAATGGCTAATTTCAAAAAACGCGATTCTGTGGGAATTACTGCCGCTTCGATAAAATCTGATGAGCGGAGCATCCGTGCCCAAGCCATAATCCCGTCCATGTTCGAGCGCATCCAATAACTATAGCCAGAGCATCCATGCCCAAGCCAGAATATGGTCTTTGGCGGAGAGCAACCGACAACGGGAGCATTCGTGCCATAATATCGCCCATGTTCGATAACATTCGATAAGCCATAACACCGTCCATGTTCACATCCGGTAACCAGAGCATCCATGCCTAAGCCAAAAAATCGATAACCAAAGCGTCCATGCCCAAGCCATCATATCGTCCATGTCATGCGCATCCAAGAGCGAGAGCATACATGCCGAACCAACAATATCGTTTATGTTCGATAATTTAACATTCGGTAACCAGAGCATCCATGCCCAAGCCACAATATCGTCTGTGTTCCAGAGTACGAGATAACCAGAGCATCCATGCCCAAGCCATTATGCACTAACCAGGTCCTTTTTGAAACATTATTATCTTCTGAGGGTCCTTTACCCAATCTTACTACCTCCCCGCGGCATTTTGTAAACCATTATTGTCCTTAAGAGCCCTCTATCCAATATTGCTACCCCTCAAGGATCCTCAAGGGTCCTTGTTTAAACGCTACTACCCACTAAGGGTACTCCCAAGATTACTACCTAAGGGCCCTTTTTGAAACATTATACCCCTTGAGGGTCTTCTATCCAACATTACGACCCCCTACCGCTGAGGGTCCTCTTTTAAGCATTATTGCCTTTTGAGGGCCCTTGAGCCAACATTGGCTCCCCCTGACATTTCTTTTGTAACGCGGTGACGCCTGTACGCACACATTTTTTTACACGAAATCAGCATTTTCAGTTCAGCCCCGCGAGAACAAGACCTGCCGTCTCACGAAATGCCACGCTTGCCGAAAACCACGCGGTCCGTCATATATACGTGACGTTGGTCGTCCTTGCTTGCGTGGCATTCTGCATTTTGTCGTGAGGAAGCGACCGGCAGGCAGATGCGGTAGTGGTACTCGAAGAATCGATCCAACCTTCACACGTCCAGGTGCGCCGCGACGCATTTCGAGACTTCTCGGCACTTGTGTTCTCCTCCTGCTGGCCAATGCAGGCTGTGGAGCCCCCTGGTATGCAACAAAGCGTGCAGACCTTGACCCGCTCTCGGTTTCTGAAGAGCATCGTTTCAGCTACAGCCTCTTGAAAATCATCGAAAGTCGTGTCGCTAACTGCAGGCCATGGCGTGCAGCAGGCGCGGCGACCAGATTTTTTCAGTCATCGAGCAGTTTGCATCACTGTGTTGAGTTCCATATCAGGCCGTGGCTCTCTCAGTAGGCCACCAGACTAGACCAGTGTCAGCCATATTGGAAACAAGGAAGCTAGCGTAGCATGGAAGGTTTTCGGCCGCTGGGCATGCCGCGCTTGTGCTGCAATAAGTGTAAATTTGTCAACTTCCCCCTCTCAGCAGCAACCGAGGCCCGAAGCAGCCTGGAATCAGAGATGGTGGACCTTGCAGAAGGCATGAAAGGCTGGAGGGCTTGTGAAACAATGCTAAAATATAGGGCAGTCTGGCAGTAAGAGTATCGTTTATAAGAAGATAATCTGAGAATCTTGTCTTCCGTCAGAAATTTAGTGTCCGTCTTCTGCGGCAAAATTTATCAGTGCGGCCACTTGCAATTTCTTGGTGTGCCCAAGCAAACTTCTAAATCTCTTGGGGCGGTCGCAGACTTAGATATCATCACGTCTGCATTAGAGTCTGCATTCTTCCCAGGTGCTGCGAACACCTTCTTGAAAACGTTGCAGAAGGATAACAAGCGATTGGAGGCAGCCCGGTCATGGTTTCCGCTGCAGTGCGCCAGTGGTGCCAGCCTTGCAGCTGCAGTCTGCACAGGACATGCAATCAGCACAACAGCGTAGCCGGGCGCTTGAAAGTCGAGCCCCTTTAAGATTTCAAGCGTTGGAGTCAACAGGCTTGGACAACGTCACGGCGCATTCCGAGAAGGGAAAGAACATGCTCCGTGCTGGCCAAATGAGTTTTCTTTGAGCCTCGCCTGACATGAGCTTCAGTTGTTGCATGCTGCATGCTTGAGCGACTTGTTTGCATGTGCGTTCTGGCAGGCACAATGCTCTTGGTTGCAATCAGTGCGCAATCCTCAGCAGCTTGGACGAGACACAACAATGAAGACTGATGCAAATGTGCAGGTCATCATCTTCTGCATGATGATACCCTTCATCATCTTCACTTAGCTTCCGTGCCAAATGGCACTGCCAACATGTGGCCAATTTGCGGCATTCAAGAAAGCTGGTTGGTGCGTATCCGTGCGTGTCTGCTTGGGACTGGGATGCTCAGTTATGTTAGGTCTGGATGTTTTGATTTGCGCTTTGCGCTTTGCGCAGGAGCACTTGACCGCAGGGATCCAGCTACTGCCAAGTAGCTACACGTTGCCTGTACAAAAGCTTGGACCCTGCATGGGCTGCGGCTATGAGATGTGGTCTGACAGAGATACTTCTTGCGCTCGCGGCTGCAGAGACAGCTGGCCACATGGTAATGAGTATGGACATGACTGGTGACACCAACGTGTCCGCGACGAATGATGGGATGCGCAGTTCCGAAAGCTTGACTGAAGAAGGCAGCACGCGGGGTTCAACGAACTTAGCTTTTGAAGCTCACTCTACCAGTGTTTCCACACAGAAGAGTGGACTGACGCATGCCGCGGCCTACGAATCTGCTGTGCAGGACAGCCGGACAAGTCAGCCATCATTTCTGGGCTTAGCTTTTTTTGCCTTGCTGGCAGCTTGTGAGGAAGAATCAAGGATTTTCTTAGCGCTGCCTACTCACCGAGCATTTTCGATTGAAGAGGGTCAGCCTTTATGGTGTTGGCATGTAATGGCATGTGTTGGCTTGGTTGAAGCCAACCGAAATAAGGCAGAGATTCGAGGCTAGCAGCTCCACAGGGCGAGCGGATGGGGCTATTTTTTTGCCTGCATGTCGCAGGAGAGTCATTTGATCGCTACGCGAGTGCCGCTTCGGGGGCGAAGAGCCGGTCGACAGCGGTGAAGGCTTCTAAACAGGACAGGCTTGATTATGTAGCTGCGTTGATTTAGGAGGAAGGCGGTGCATCCCGCTTCGACAATGCGGGGAGAGGCAAACAATCTCAGTCTGCTTCGGGTTGAGTTGGCAGGAAGAAGGGTCGCAAGTAGAACTCAGAGCGGCCAGGAGCTAGAAGTGTTTCCAGTGGGTTTGACGCCACGGGTGGAACAGGCCAATTGCGCGAGCGGAAGGCACGGCTGGAATTGAATTTAGCAGTGGTGGGAGACATTGGAAGAAGAACAGGAAGGGAGAGGGGAGGGAGGAGTGGAGGAGCGGAGGCGATGATCAAAAGCCAAATGCGTCGAATTCTTTCGAGCACAAGGGGGTCTCTAGATCTAGATGCCCAGGCCTCTGGTCACAGCGGATTCTTTTCTAGGGCTGAAAGCCGCAGAGGCTTCCCATATCTTCCAGTCTGTGTCAAGCGTGAAAGCCAGCTCGTGCGCAGAGGCAGGAGGTGCACAACCAACCAGATCAGATTCGTTCCTTGGCCTCTTTTGCAGGCATCGCGGGGGGTGCATAGCCCTTTCGCGTAGGGAATGAAGGCTTTCTAGCACTTTTTGGCACATGTTCAGCATTTTCAGCCCTATGGCCGTGTCATGGAATGGAAGGTGAAGTTGAAAGAAGGGCCGGGGGAAGGAGAGGGAGGGGGGGAGAGCTGGCACAGGCAAGCAGGCAGGCAGAATGTGGCACTGCTGAAAAGAATAAGGTCGAAAGACGCGAGCGTGGGCAGAAGATGGAATAAGTGGAGGAATACAGAGATGTGGCATTCTTACCATCCTTGTCATGGCATCGAGATGTGGCAAAACTATCCCAGCTGTCAACTCTTCCTACGTCTTTCAGGTTTTTCTTATGTTGTTGCCATGGATTCTAGCTCTTCCTGCTCTCGTGCATTTCAGTTCTGGGATTCTGTAAACGATTCAGCTCAGTATTGAGCAATGATGAATGCTGTCACTTGTGGCACGATCGGAATCAGATCTTTTTTAACAGGATCCACCTTTGGCATGTTGGTGTGCTACTGGAATTCGTGCCATTCTTCTGATGGTGCCTGCAGTCTCTACAGTACTACCAGCTACTGTTCCAGGGGGTTGTGACGCAAGATTGATTGCAAGTGAAATGTGGAAGTGGCATTGAGCGAGTTGATGTTGGAAGCCCCTAGAGGCCCCTGGAGGCCCCTACAGGCACCCGCCCTGGACCCCTCAAGGCCTGAAGACCCCGGATGATGCCCCCCTGGAAGTCTTAGGGCCTTAGGGCCTTTGCAGGGGTGCATTTGAGGCGTGTGCTGCCTAAAGTGCGAACAAAAACCACCAGAATACAAGCAGCACGGAAGCAGCAAGGGATTTTGCTGCACTGGTTGCATGCAGAGTCATCTTCTCAGCATTTGGGCGACTAAGGCCATGGAGCGCGAAGACCGTGGCTCCACCCAGTCCGACTTGTCCAACTTGCTGCCGGGGCCCTTTGAAGGAGTCGCCGCTCGGCAGAGTGGAACAAAGGCGGTTGCATGATTGCTCAGACTGCAGTGCAGCAGCGCTACATCCGCTGACAGCTTTAAACGGCGCAGGCACAAACAATGCCGTCCTGTTTTCGGGTCTAAATGATTTTAGGGGGAAGTGTGGCACAATTGTCGGGAGGGTGGGATTACCGCGGGGCAGGGTGCCACTGCAGCGTGAAATAGAGCTGAAGCCGACCAAAAGACCACTCAGACTCAGAAAGCAGACTTCTGTCCCTCGGCCGCCGGGCGAGCGTGAGATAAACTGCTCAAAGATCGTATGAAGGAAAGCACGTGGCACATCCACATGGGTGTGGTTGCTTGTGCAAGAGACATTGCAATGAAACTCATAAGTCTATGATGAACGACTTACGGACTTGGGCTGGTGCGCAGGTGAGCTGGCACAAAATCGTCTCACCTGAAATGTCACAGTTGAATCTGCTACATGTGTGAGGTGTCCAAGCCAGCACTCCCCGCCTAGTGGCAATGCCGATCCATGCGCAGATCAGCCAGTGTGCGCTGGGTATCACAGGCCGGAGCATCACTGTAACATGCAAGACATTGTGAACCGCCATGTTGCGAACTGCAGGTGTCTTGGTGCTGCGACTGGGTTCCTACAATGCCAGCCAAAGCCTGGCTCAGAAACCGTTTGCCAGACTGGGCCAAACTGCCTGCCCGAGTGTGTTGGTCAAGAGGTCGGCAGGGAAGGAGATGACTGCGCGCTGCAACCCGTGGAGAATTGTGGAAGCAGCTATGTGCGGCGAGGATCTCGGGCCACGCAATGTAGAGTGAGCAAGGGTGGCAATCCAAGCGGGGCTGACCTTTGCGAGAACTGGTTTCTGTGTGGGATCTGACTTGGCTGAACTCCTCGCGGTCAAAACGATGATTGTGCGCCATGATGCGCAATGCATGCGCAGATTCTCCGGGGCGGGGCATCAGTTGAGCTGCCCTTCGTGTGCTTGCGCGTGCCATGCACTTCTTTGCCCTGTCTGTTGCTGTAGACCTATCTTCAGATTACCTTTGCCCTTTTCTCCGGTCACGTGTCTTGACTGGTTGCGGTTGCTGGGTTCATGCAGATGTGCTGCCGCGCATGCGTATCTGCCATGATTCAAGCGCATACTGGGCTGGCTATGTTGCACGGCTCGTGAAGCGTTGCAAGTGACGGCTGGCGAAAGCTCCTTCCCAGCAGAGCAGTGTAAGTCCTGGCAACAGGCCCTAGGGCGCCAATCCAAGGCCCTTGCAAAGAGAAGGGTGAACCCAGAAGTTATGAATAAGCCTTCTACTTTACACAACCACACACTGGCATACTTAGAGCCCTCAAGCAAGGCTTTCAAGTTTCACAAGAAGGGATGTTCGGCTCACGTACAGAAGTGGCAAAGCACTCCTTGCTTGTTAGGGCCTGCGAATCCCCATGGCGGCGGCCTTCTGTGCCAGGCTTGGCTGGCGGAGGTACATCCGCTCCGGCTTTTCCGGCTTTTCCGGCTTTGGAGGCCTGAATTAGACTTCTGAGGGTAAGTTTTCAAATGCTAGCGAAAACAGAGTGGATCGACCTGGACTGAAGGATCTCATCCGCAACGTTTTGTTGCATCCGCCGGAAGGCGCCGGCTCTCGCAGTCAAACATCCTCAAAGCCTTCCAGCTGTGCAGGAGAAGCAGACGGGACTCCAAAGTTCCCGTAAAAGGGGAAAGACGGGCGAATCATGCCGAAGCCTTACGAACCTCTTGATGTCTGCCTTTGCAGGGGAATCGGTTTCACACGCCAGGTGCCTGATCAGCATGGGACCGCACCGAGTCTCCTGCGCCTTCCCATTAAGGAGGCGGGGTGGCGGGCTCTTAGATATAGAGATGTTCAGCCTCTGCATTTCTGCATCTGCAGGCTGAGTTAGAAGCATGCCTGGCAGACGGAAGACGGCGAGGTGGCAGCTACGACAGAGAAAGTTCGAGTGTCAATTGTACCCTCACTGCGCGGGAGGCCCTATTTTCATGCATCAGGCGATGGTTGAGCAGCACGTGCTGGAGACAAACCATGCGCAGGCTGCTGAGAGAGTGGCTGATTAGAAAAGCAGCAGACAAGAAAGCATTGATCAGGCTACGGTAGCTGCACGCCTGCAAAGTCTGTGGGAGGACAAGTTCAAAGTCAATTTGTTGACCTGCTACGCTGCAGCATGCTGCAGCGTAGGAGTTGAACTCCTACAACCTCAACCTCCGCAAATGGCAGGCAGTTTGTCAAGCAAGTGAAGAAAAAAGACAGCAGAGCTTTCTCGCAGATTGCTTCCGTGCTTCCGTTGATGCAGGCCGAGATGCAAAACCGCCAATCTCGGCAGCCTGGCAGTTGCGATGCGAAAGTGCAAGGATGTCCAGAGTTGGGAGGCAAACCACGATGCCACTTTTCAGGTTTACAACAGGGTACAGGCTCTCAGGGCAAGGGGCTGCTAATGTCTTAACGATTCAAATTACTGCCGCTGCTGATGATTGCTTTCCGCTCGTTGATTGCATTTTGATGTGTTGCACCGGCAGAGCCCACCTTTGAGGCTTCCTGGAACAGGTCGCAGGAAAACGGAAGTAGACTGGCACCTTTCAACATGACAGTAGCAAAAAACGAGGATGACAATCCAAAGTAGAAGTGACTATAGTGATAGTACTAGTGGCAATAAGATGCAGAACGACAACATTGACAAGATCAAGCTAGAATGACATCACGCAGCAGACATGATACAGAAGAAATCTTGTAACCAATCCAATTCGCGCAGAGACTCGGAGTGCAAAGTTGAAGCTATGAATCTTTTGGCCCGCGTGAGAAGGATTTGGAATCTTTGGGGAACCAGCAACGACGCAAACCGGGCAAACCTCCTCTCAACTCGGGGCTATTACCCAGCAGGTTTTCTGGAGACGTCTGGACGTCTGAGCTGGGAGCCTGTGCATAGTTCTGGAATAGACGCTAGAGAGAGAGAGAGAGAGCGAGCTCTGCGGACAAGTGAAGAAGGAATTCGGCATGCCACTAAGGACCTCAGAGCACAAGGTTTCGGGGAAGTTGGTTAACGAACCCTAACGATCATGCAATTCGCAGAACCTACAACTAGGCACCAGGGTGGCCATAATTGGATCGCTGAGATTGGGTACTACGGTTTCGGTTTGTCCTTGCTGTAGGAAGCGGGGAATTAAAAGTCGAAGACGACATAAAAGTGAATGGGCAACAATTCAGTTTGCAAACTGGTAGAAACCAGTAGTGTGACAAATGTATATAGAAGCCAGACAGGTGGGAACTTGAGGACTTAGGGAGGTTGATTGTGCAGCGTAGCTGTGAGACGCAATTTCTTCGGAGCAGTGAGATGCAAGGGGTATGTGGAGACCAGGGGAGATGTTTGACAACTAGGAAGCGGACGGTCTCCAGATGCTAACCCTTCCTCGGCTCGGTTTACTGACCTTCTTCCCGGGAATGAGAAGCGCACTGGATGGGTTTCTGGGTTTGGGGGGTAGAAGAAGAAGGGGAATGTAACACAATCCAGTGAACGCGACACTCAACCCATCCTTCGACCGCGAATCCCTCGGGCTGGAGGTACGCCTCCGCGACACCTTCGCGTGCCGCATAGCCTGTAGAAGAAGAAGAAGAAGAAGCTCAGCGGACATGTTGGGGCTCAGGGCAGTGCCCTGACCTACCCATGGGGGTAGGTTGAGCCCGCAGAAGAAGAAGAGCTCTGCGGACTGGGGCTGTGTTTTACGTTGTTTCAATCTTCGTGCTCCCGCTGCGATTCATCACCGAGGCCTGGCACGGTGTCGACTCGCACAGTTACCTGCTTGGGGCCTTGCCCCGGCCCTCTCCGCAAGGGGAGGGTAGAGCAGTGAGAAGAAGAAGAAGCTCTGCCGTACGAGTGCAATTTGTGGGTGAAGGGCGGGATCACACATGAAGGGCAATACCTCGATCCTCCGGGTGGGACCGTGTGAGCGCAGAACTGCTTTGGCTCGAGACACTGCCTCGGGGGGAGCTTGCGCTCTCCCTATGGCCCCGAAAGAAAGAAAGCTGCCGTAATCTCTTGCATGAAGAAGAAGAGATCTGCAAGGGCTCGTGGGCCCTGCCCGGGTGCCTCCCCAATGGGGCACAGCCCTGAGAGGAGCAAAATCACAAGAAGAGGAACCATTTCTGACAAGAAACCTTTGTTGAGGGCGAAAACCCCATGGCCCGGCACGGGTATGAGCTCTAGTGTATGACTAGCCTATGATTGAGGCAGCGGCAGAGTTTTTGCATGTGTTGCAGGGCACGACACGGCGGCGGGTGATGCCGGTGCAGTGCCAGAAGAAGTGCAACCAGAAAAGCCAGAGCTCCTGAGCTATGGCTGTTATGTGTAAGCCTCGGTGGCGTATATGGTGTCGCGTTTGTTCTCTAGTCTAGAGCCGATGCCTCCTTGTTTGTGAGGTCTGGGGCAGCGTCGGAACTGGAAAGAGCTTGCTTCTGGACTGCCTGTGCTGTCGCCAGCAAGCTAACATCGACAAAAGGCTCTCTTTCACGGGTCCCACAGGACCTGTTCGCAGAGTCCCTCCGTCAATCTGGTTTTCCGCGACGTTGTCGTCGCATTCATTTTCACGAGTTCATGTACGAGGCCTGCATATGGATGTTGGCATGGTTCCTGCTCCTTGACGGTTCCTGCTTGAAAACATGCCGAGGTGCACCGTGAACTGTTCCAGCTGCGGCAAGATGGCAAGAACAAAACCACCCAGGCTCAAATGTGCAGCTCTTACGTCATGCTGTTCATGTCTAGTGATGCAGGCCGTGGCAGCCCGCATAGCAGAGACAGCTATAAGCTTAGTTTCAGCAATCAGCTTGTCCATTGCTGTACTGCGCAGCAGATCAGCAAAGGCCCATGACTCCCGAAGGTTAGTGTGCTTGCCTTTGACGAGTTTCAGATCACCAACATCTCTGATGCGTTGATTGCCTGGATGCTTACACATGGAACTTGCAATGTGTTTCAGATTGCAGATTGGCATCTATAGGCTGCGTACGTGGTTGGTGACATTGTGAGAGAATGCGCCCTCCAGTGAACCAACTAGAGAGGTTGAGACCCTCTTCGACTCGTTGTTCGAACAAGGCATTCAGTTGAGCGCACGCGTCTGTCTGTGGGTGATAGATGCACGTTGAAGAATTCGGAGGAGGAGAAGTTGTAGATAGTCCTGGGACTTGACAGGTCTGCAAAACATGGATCAATCAATCAAGCAATGCAGCAACTACTTAGTAACTACTTACTTGAGCTTGGTGGGGTGGCTTGGACCAAACAGGCAACTGGTTGATGACACACCCAGGCAATAGATAAGATCATTTGGGTCCGATGCCCGTATATCCATGCTGATTTCAGGCCCTGAAACGTTCTCTGTAGACTTTTGCTGCAGATTCGGAAGGGAGCTGTGGCTGTATATCACTTTGTGTCAATATCAGGGATGCTGGATGGGTTTCACGCCGCGCTTTACGATACAGAAGCTGCCGGCTGCATGTGGCTTCCAATACTGGCACCGGTAGATTGACGCCCAATTCATAGCCCAAGTTCTACTTCCTGTTTCAAGCCTTGGTCAAGGGCCGCAGACGGGATTGAGATTTAGTGATGACCAAGTGACCAAAAACCTGGACGCAGAAATGATGACGATGAAGCTGCAGCAGTTTTTCAACTCTTTTTTAGCCTGGAGGACGCGTCCTTTTCTCGTAAACTTGTGGACCAACTTCGGGCTTTCCAAATGAGAGGCTGTACATAACCCTGCATGCTGCGCAGGGTTTCGTATCTTGAAGGCTGGACATGGGCTACAACCAGTCAAGGCATTAAAGCAGAGGTCACATCCATCCTCGTTTCAGAACGACAGTGGATCCTAACGGTCTTACTCTTATGCGTGCATCTAGACTCCGACCCCCTTGGCTCAGTACTACAGGACATTGTTGTCTTGCGATTGAACAACCGTTATCTTGTCAAGGAGCCCCATGTTGAAGCAGGCACAAGGCAAAGCGGAACACATGAGGAAGAAAAGGTCGCAGCTAGCAGAAGGCTCGGTTCACATTTGCAAAGCCCCTGGCAAAATGCCAACATTACTCCTAGCAGCCGGAGCACAAAGCTGTCCAAGAGAAGAAACTGACAGTTCAGCAAGCAAGGCTTCTGGCCACTCCTGCTCAGTCGCACAAACAACACATTGATGCTGAAACCATGACTGCCCCAGGCAGATACAAAGTATCGAGACGAATTCAGGCAGCATGCCATGAGAACGTTATGTACGGCAGGCGTTGCGATTGTCATGACATCCAATCGCCGCCCTGAAGACTTGTACAAGGCGTGCTAATGGATGCTGATTGGCTGTCGAAAGCTTTGCAAGCATGGAACAGGACGGTCTGAACAAGCACCTTGCTATTCCACAGTTCCTCTCCTTGCTGGAGAAGCGACATGTTCATGTTTTAGAGCTTTCAGCAGGCCTGAGAATGGCTATAAGATGTGTACTGCTTGGGCTTTGCTCGCAGGTCGTGACTTCCGCACTGAGCTTGCAGATGCGGGGTCCCCAGTCCTGTTGCTTTAGCACCTGGCCTTTGTCCCTGTCTGCAAGAACGGATTTCAGTTGTAATGTGGCAGGGAACTTGGGAATCTGAAGTTGGAGAAAACATGGCTGAATCCTGCGGCCCACGTAAGGCCATAATCTCTGCCAATGGGAGCATCAATCTCACTGCAGCCTCCACATACAGAAATTTATCACCCAACCTTCATCAGCGAAGCAGGAGGCGCACCTAGCATTCCGGCCACATCTGGCTACCATGAGCCCCAGACCTACCGCATGCTAATCACATACCCAGCTAACCAATAAGAGGCTCTGGAAGTCCAGATGTGCAGCATTTCTGGGGACGGAGAGTTGCATGGAGATATAAGTGCGAGAGAGAAGATAAGTCCTTGCTCGGAAGGGACGCATGAAGGTACGCACTGGCATCGTGTTTCGGTTGGCTTAGTTGAAATCTTTATTCCCTCAGGTTTGCCTCAGCAGCTAACGCAAAGCTCAATAGTTCTGATCGTTTGGTAAAACAATATCATGATGTCAGAGTCCATGGCATCAAAGCAGAAATTGGGGTTTGATAATAACCCTGCGTTGGGAATAGCTCCAAGTGCGCCATGGAGTGCAAACATGAGATTTTAGCTGGAAGAGCGATGAGAGGAAAACAGCGACAACAAAGATAATAGGGTCCAAGAGTTGGAAAAGAGGACAAGAAGAAACATAGAGACAACAACATTTTGGGTCCCGCGGAAAAGCGCCAGAGTAATCCTCAAAGGAGATGATTCGGAGATTCATGAAGGATTATGAGTGATTGGTGATGTCTGTGGTTTTCTAGGAGAGATGTACATTTTGGTCAGGTTTTGTGCTCAAAGTCATGAAAGATTTCCGGGAAGTTGGATCAGAATTAGTAGCAACTCACAATTAGTGTTTTACGCGATTGTCTCTATCAGGGTGCTGGTCCTTCAACATACCGGGCTAGGAACAAATAAGAGAGCGTTCATGATGATGAAGAACGACTCCTCTTTCGTGTGGGGGATAATTTCTCACTAGGAGGCAAACGCCGTTTTCTGAGACGGAAGTAGCTTTCGGGATATGTCCGGTAGCTTCTTTGTTCCGGGGTGTGCTCGGTTTTGTAAACGTTGATGCCCGCTTGAATTTAATTTGTTGTCCTGCACCCGTTTCCTCAGGCGATTTGGCATGCCAACACGGGTTGGCGAGATTTCTTCCACAAGGCCACTGCACTTCATACTTCCGACTGTTGGGCGAGAAGCTATGCCCATTGCCCAGAGTGCAGGCAGCAGTCGGGGGGGAAGTTGCTGCCGAAAGCCTGCTGAGGCCGTTCTACAAGGGAGTGGTAGGATAGCCCTGAGCCAGCGGAGTAGGGAGACGTTTCTTTAGAGCTGCATAAACGTATAGAGCCTTCAGGCATAGGACCAAGGACATGCACTTGCTGGGGTTTGCTGGGGTTTATTCATCTGGGGCCCAGGGTTTTAGGGTTTGGTTTTTTTTGGGTTTTGGGCTTTTCAGGGCCCCGCCTGTAGAAGTTTATTAAGGGCACGGGTTGCAAGGGTTTGGCGTTCTTAGGGTTTGGGGTTCTTGCGGTTCTGGGGGTCTAGGCTTTAAGGTGTTGTGGAGTCCTGTTGAGCCAGCTAACATCTGGGCTCAAAAAAAAGGTTTTGGGGGTGAGGGCTGTCCCCCATCTGCCATATGCAAACCGGTGAGGAGTGTGGCACTTAGTGATGAGGATTTCACCATCCTTTAACATAATTGAGGAGTTTAGAAGATGGCTGCTATACATGACCTTGGAGGGCCGCGCATGAAGAGCTTCCTTACTCCGGCTCCCCTCTAATGTTGAACACCTGCCTTCCCCCCTGACGCACACCCGGGTTGGAGGGTCTAGGGAAACGCTGGACCGATTCACGGTATCCACCCTCACCTTCCCCCATGCTTCCACAATGTGAACAGTCACAGGGATGGGGCTCCTCGGGGTCGCCATTCTCGTAACTGTCCTCGCTTTTGACGCCTAAAAGCCGCCATCCTCGTAAATGTCGGCACTGTCAGCCCCTCGTGCTTTCGTCGCGCTTCAAAAGTGTCGACAGTCACAGGGATGGCGGTGGTGCTCGGATCATGTATGTCTACACTGAACACGATCCTGTTTCCTGATCCGATTCAGGCGTGGCCTGATCCAATTTGTGCCTCGCCAGGTGATCCGTTACGAGCCCCCATTGATCCCTTATGTCGTTGTTTTCAAAGTCCCCGGGATCCAGTTCGCGCCACGGCCTGATCCGTTACATGTGATCCGATTTGTGGGTCTACCTCCTCACGTCGAACAAGCGTTGCGTCCAAGTACGTCCTAAGATGTTGCATGCATGTTCTCACAATTTCTCACATAGCCTGGTACATTGGTCATGCGTTCAACGGCCAGTTTGCGTTTGTCGTGTACGCAGCTGAGCTGCAGACCTTTCTTCTGGAATTTCTTCGAGGTGCAGGTCCCCCAACAACACCTATCATTGGGCATGAGCTGCCTGGATAGAGTCTCCCAGCGTGCATGGAGAAGCATTCTTCCTTGTGGTAAGTCTTAGCAAGGTTTTTAACTTCAAAAAGGGTTCTCTACGCACTCCGTCATGGCACATGGACATGTCCTGTAGATCCTATGATTCTTCACTTGCAATAATATGGAGCTTTTCTGTCAATCCTCGCATCTTGCATGAAAAATCCTTTTATGGCCGATCAGTTTGACTGAGATGCTCTATACACGGGCTTATGTATTGGTAGTCCATTATTTCACGCTCAGCAGCATTATGCTCAGGGAGGTGGCTTTAGTGGCAATAGAGAGCTCAAGCTTGGAAGCCAAGCCTGATACGATTAGCATGGTACCTATCTGGCAGCAGTCATTGAACCAAGGCAAAACACAATGGCTGCAACTATGGGGCTCAGGTGTGTGTAAGCTATTGTGACCAAATCTTTCTGAGACGAACCAACTAGCAACAAAGTTTCTAGATTTTGTGCATATGTATGTATAAAGCAGTCGTGATAATGCAACAGCGCTGGATGCTCAACTGGCTATGTACTCATCGCTTGCTCAAGAGCAGGAGCCGACTTCTGCATGTTCAGGCCCATGTCTGGGTTCACGGGATCCATGTCGAGCAGGTATTGTACCAGACAGGACAGCAAGCAGGTACCAGAAACGCCCGGGTGCCGGATTTGTACAGATGCTTCTGTACGACGTCTGAGGGAATTGTCATTGGGAGCGATTTAGATTACAAAAGTAATCTCTCACCGACATGACATAACTTCGCTAGCAAACCTGTTGTTCTCAATCAGAGGCAGTCTTTCAGGAAATGCTTTTGCATGGCTTGCGCTCTCCGCGCTGCTTTTGCTGGGCAGGTCAGCATTTCAGGAAGCAGCCGGAGGACCTGGAAAGCGAACTGCCATGCAGGTGGCATGGGGGCGGCAGATCGAAGTGGAGGAGGCGCAGTTCTGTTCTTGGTCCTGACTAGCGACAAGCATCATTGAAGCTGGCTTGCAGGCGGCGTGTGGTGTTGGCAGGTTTTCATTTCAGCAGAGCCTGAGCTGCAATGAGAATATGTTGTGCAGGAGGTCCTCCAGCATGCCCCAAATATGTGAAGGAATCTGAAATCAAGCATTGGAAAGAGTTGCAAATTCCACTAAGCTAGCACCATGCGTGGCTGCTGATAGGCTCTGTGGAAGCGCGCTGAATTCGGATGACTACTTGTGCTTGGCGGCAGCATTTCACACGATTGCCACTTGACGTGGCATTTTGGGAGCCTGTTTGATACCACCGCATCAGCAAGTTGCACCCGCGAAGGTGATTGCAGATGTTCCTTCATTCACGATGTCTCTACACAATGAGGCCATCCCAACCCATGTGGGATTTTATGGTGACATTCTGCTTTTGCAACCGCACATTGCTGCTGTCAAGAAGAGCTCCTAAACAAAGATAGGGCTTGAAGGTCACGGACTACAGTATGCACATCGGGCACTGGGCATGTGTAATTTCTCAAGAGTATCGCAAGGCGGAGGGTTGACAAGTTAAGGAAATGCGCATTATTTGTTTTGAGCCTGGGTCTCTTTATTTGATGAATTTGCACAAGATGAATCGCTCAGGCGCGGCGATTCACCAACCTTGTAGACTGCATCTACGAGAACCACGTTCGCTTAATTGTCTCCGCAGCCTGCTCCTCATAGTGTCCTCAGCACGCAAATGCACATCACGAGGGCGTTAAGTCAGGACGCCCCTCCTTCAGAGATTCTTCAAAATATGGTGGTGCCCTGCCGCACTGATGATGTACATCTGTGAGCCATGACCGTTGAACACCAACCCTCAGCCTAGATGATGGCAGACTCTTTGGCCGAGAAGCCACGCTCTCGTTGGACTTGCCTCGCAGCGCTTGCTCCTGTCCAAATTGTATGGGCACAGGTCCAGCCCAGCATAAGTGGTCGCTCAGGCCTGCAGCCAATTTTCCGACAAAGAGCTGGATGCACAGCATGGCCCAATGCTTCTGGACAAGCGCTTTGATGCTCGCAAGATTGAAAATCACCATGGTCAACCGCAACCAAGGACGAAGAGATCGGCTCTTCAGCAGTCCATTCTCGTCACCTTCCTCAGCTGCTTCTCTGTTTCGTCAATGCCGGAAAAGTCAGGGTTTGAGCAGGTCAGAACCTCTGCAAGTTGAAGAAATCCATCGAAGTGCACAGTCACTGGGTGCCAGTGCGCAAACCTCAGACCTGAACCCGGGAGAGCGTCGCGTGTTTTCTATTGATTGGAAGTCTCCTTCTATGAGCAGGTCCAAGCAGGAGACGATGACACTGCCACCGGTGTTGAGCCTTAATGCCTGATCAGAGTCTGTACACGCCGGCGTAATCTAGTGCAGCTATTGACTTAGACGAGGCAGGGGTTGCTGGCATCATGTCGGGTGCCCTCGGATCTCTGCAGGACGACGACTTGACAAAAAAGCCGTCTCGAAAGAAATGTCGCTCAAACGTCAGATTCAAACGTTGGGAGGAGAGCGGCTTTGCAGCTCGGCGTGCAACCAGTCGCCTGCTTCACATGCAGCAGGGGTCTCAGAGCCTATTGGTCGCGGTGGGGCGCTATGGAGCCCCTGCAACGCAAGGACGCCACAGTATCTTCATGCCCATCATAGATGTCGGTTGGCATCCCCGGAACGAGCGGCAATCGAGTAGCATTTCTGTACCTCCACGTATCTCCTGTACTGGGCTCGAAGGAAAGGAGACGTGATGTTTGCCCCAAGCGGCAGGAGATGCAGGCAGTGCACTGTACATAGCAACGTGCGGTTGTTCAGACGTGTTGCAACGACCGAAACGCCTAAATTTGGCAGCCATTATGCATGCAAAGATACAGCTGTCTGATGTTTTCATGGCTCGGCTCTAGGCTTCAGTCTTGAGTTTGGGTGGGGCCGGTCCAGAAAATCTGAGTCTGCCCATGTATGCACTCATGATGGGGTCCAGGATAAGTGCAGCCAACACCCAACGCAAAGGTTACAATGCAAGACCTCGACAGAATTCACCCGTCGTATGATGGCGCATTTTGTGCAAGCTGAGTGCCTCCAGCATCGTTTGTCAGGCGAACCCAGCACTTGTACACACAGCATCACACAGCCATCCTCACCCCGCACATCCAAGTAAGCAGCCCAAACTGTTGTGGTGCTCTGTGTGGAATTCATGATCATGGCGCGGCCGTTCATGGAGCATGTGAAGCATTCGCGCGGCCAGGTGCAAGTTAGACAAGCAAGAAACATGCAAAAAGGGTGATCCTTGCAAGTCAAAAGCAAGCGGTCTCTGGATTCCCAGGTGCCCAAAGACTTGTCCAAAGATGCGAGGGACTTTGCGGCATCGGCTTCGGCATCGATGTCTGGCATCAGTTGGCTTACTTGGCTTCTCTTCTGCACGAAGGGGAGTTTTTTGTTCCGGGTCCCTGCTTTGCCTGAGCATTTCACCATCGCTCAGGCACTCTTCTAGCCGTAGCCCAGGCTGCGTTCTTGCCACTGCCTTTCAGCAGAAGCGAGAGGCGCGATGGCTCATGCAAGCGAGCTGGCAGCACAAGCCTTATGCACCACGGATTGGCCCTGAAGGATGGAGAGGGCAACGGCTGTGGCCGATGTTGATCAATGGTCAGACTCATGGCCAAACTGATTGCAGTTTCCTAGCTCCGGTAGCGAAGCAGTCACCCCAGTACCTGCTAGACCGTACGTGATTTGTTTACCTCTTTTTCACTGCTCTCTCATTTTCAATCGTGTAAAGCGCGGCGGATTTTCAGCAACCACCCAAGCGCGAGAAGCAAAGTGCAAAACGAACGGCGCCGAACCACAATTTTGCCTACCACCTGGCGCGCTATAAAAGGCTGAACAGTCTGATTTTGGCCCGGCATCATCATCTTCATGCCGGTTATTTTTCAAAGCTCTGGGCTGTTGATGTCCCTGAACGAGCAAACGCGCAGAACATGGGTGGGTCACAAAGGCCCAGAGACGCAGCCAAAATAATGAGCGAACAAGCAGGCGGGAAGCTGGCGCTCCCAGATTGAGCAGAAAACGTGCTCACTTGATTTTTTTCGATAGGGCGTGATAAGGTCAGGACTGTCAGGACCAGCAGTGGCTGGCATGGCTGCCAGCCTGTCTTGCCGATTGATCTGAGTGCACGTTTCTGGGAAGCTCAGTCTCTGGGCCACGCTTGAAGATACGAGCTGAAGGGAGCTAACCCGCCCAATGAGTCTGTATCTGGGAGGGTTGATAGAAGCTTGGCAGGGAGACCCCATGATCGAGGAGAGTGCACCACTTGTTGAAACAGCCCTCGCCCCTTGAGCGTTCCCCGCAAATCTGAGTCAAGCTGACTGGCCTAGGGAAGCGGCTCCACGATGTATTGCAATTCTTCTACAAGGGCTCGGGCTGGCTTTGGATGGACTGAGCTCATCCAAATTGGAAACCTCCACCAAGGTGTGTCGAGGTGTTGCAATGATGGTTCTGTTGTCTTGTGCTGGCTGTTTTCTGGGAGCAAGTCTTATTCGAATGGCGGATTAAGCAGGGCTTCGAAGAAGCCCTTGCGCATGAAGTAGGTTTGAAAGAAGAAGAAATCGGTCTACTGCCGACCCTGCAAGTGGAAGACGGAGCTGGGGGCGATCATTTAATCCATAGTGTCGGGGGTTTGGGGGCGGGTCGGCAAGGCTGTGAGGGGTGGTGGGGGGTGAGAGGGTTAGGGCCTCTTGCGCTCATATGGAATAGTTAAAATTATTCTACATACCATCTAAAATTTATGCAGATTTTTTTTTTTGGGGGGGGGGTGTCGGCAAACGCCGCGGGGTGGTGGGGTGGTGAAAGGGGGTGGGGGGTGGTGAGGGGGTTGGGGCCTCCTTGGCCTCGCACAAGAAACACAAAATCTCATCTAAATCATGCTTGCCGGCTGGCAGAGGTTGGGAGCAGACCAGGAGCACGCCCCAAAATCCTGGGCACGCCGTAAGCTAGTTCCAGCCCAATGTTTTCCCCTAATTATTCCCAGGGATGTCGGGGAGGCAAGCCCAATCGTGGACAAACGGGCTTATGATATGAGCGCCGCATGAATTTCTATGGCTGTGTGTGCTTTTTTCTAACTTGTAAACAGCTTCATGATAACCTTAAAGGTTTCAAGATTTGTTGTAAAAGCTCTTGCTAAAGGTCTATGCGGCCTTATCAAGCTTGCAATGTGCCTTCTGGGAGTTTGAATATGTTATTGAGGTCTGTTTGCGGAGTTCTATATTGATGAGGCTGTCCTCCTGCAAGGTTTTCAGGAGTCAGAAAAGTATCCAACCCCTTTCAATTGATTGATTTCTGTGCTGCTAGAATGGAGTCCCCATTTTCTAATGAAGCAGCTGCGCAGGGCAGCCCCTGCACATTCATGCGGGGAAGGGGTCGCCCACCAGCGGGATTCATAGATTGATTTTGCTTGCTAGTTTTCTACTAGGCTGCTGCGACAGGGCTTGCGGCAGGGGCAAGGCCTGTGCCGCTACAAGTCGGTTTAGAAAGAAACCCTAGAAACATGACCCATGCGAATAGGAGCTTCAACCATTGCCTCGCAACTACGTCTCTGTGCGCTAGCATCTTTGTCCTCTTTCTGGGCAGTCTTACATGTTGGGTGATCCAGCGAAAAAAACACTGCAAGCTCGTCGACGCGTTGAGCGCCTTTGCCTAGATTGCACCCCAGTCGCTGCAGAGCTTCTTTAGACAGGCGTTGGGTCCATGTGCTGGTGCAGATGTTGCAGCGCCTGACATGGCTTGTCCACGTCTTTGACAGGTACACCAAACCATGCGAGAAGAACTCTGTCGGGCACAACTTGGGTGAGTCATGCGGTTTGTTTCGTGAAAGGAAGCAGCCCCAGACACACGACGGCTGCGATCTGCCATCGAGAGCATACTCCGCGAACCTGAGGCACTCGATCTTCTGCTGTCTTGTGAAGATGTGGCGGGCGTTTGGGAGAGCATGGTTGCGTAACAGGTCTTACGCGAAGAAGCCCAGGCCATTACTGGCGGTACCGCTTTCTCTGTCAGAGGCTCAGATTTCTGGCGCGAGTTGCACGCCTCAGAAATTGCGCATGCATCCTAAGTATTCAGATGATGCAGCTGCGCGATCAACTGGTGCTTTAGGTGATCTCTGCATTTGGATTGGCACTTCTGGCCCACACTGCTTCGCTTGGGACCGCTGCTATACCTGTGATTGCGAGCGCTGCGGCCTCTTCTGTCCTGCGCCACGCTGAGCTGCATGTGCTCGGCCGATCTACAATGAGGCAATCTTCTCCTACACATCCATGGCCGAAAGCTCTGGAACGTCACCTGCCTGCTATCTAGGTTGGCACCTGGCGAACAAGACCTGCAAGATAGACATCTTAAATTGGGTTTGCATATTGGTGGCATGCAGCAATGCCTTCGTTTGCACTTTGCACAAAGGAAGTCTGTAGGCCTTGGCCGCTGCAGCTTCTCCCAGGCACAGATCAAGCAATCTGACTGTCTTACTGTCTTGTTGGCTAACGATGGGCGCCAAAGCATCGTTGAAGTACTCCCGTGCTGAAGGCGCTTGCCGATGCAGCAGAACAGGACAGTCTGTTTTTCTTGCCCATGCACAGAGTGATTCTACTCTTGCTTCCCGCGCCAGGAGAGAACGCTTGCAGCAGCAGAAGTACCAAAGGCTTTACTTCCGTTTGGTGCTGGATGCACAGCTATTTTTGCTGCAGTGTGCGCTGGGGCCTTGGATTCGGACCTATTCAATTGCCGTTCGGCTGCCGAGTGTTCGTTTACCTTTGCAGTAATATGCAATTCTATGGCGCTTCTTTGAGCTTTCCAGTTAGAACAACCTGAGCAGCTTGTAGGGCAAGCATGATAAGATTCCTAACTTCAACAGCATTGTCGGAAGAGTTGGCCTCATTGTACTCTAGAAGTAGGTGTGGCGGCGAAAGTGCAAGAGCAAGTTGCATGATTTCCTCCCTGAAAGTGCTTTGTGAGACTCTGCCACAGCCGGCAGCAAGGTGACGCTGAAGATTTTTGAGGAAGACCCTGTCAATAAAGTGGCAGCTCTTGGGATTGGCTCTGGCTGGCCTGCCAAAACGGAAAGCCTGAAGCCAAGGGACGCCAAGGGAAGCCAAGCCGAGGCTGGGCATCTGAGAGTCTGTCGCTTCACAGCCAAGGCCTCCCTGCACTGCTGGATACGTTCTTTGCTCTTGCATCGGTCACTTGGCCACCTTGATCTAGAGCCTCGCTACACACAAATCATCACGGAGTAATATTAACGCTAACGCGCGCCGCCTCGGCCGGCTCGCCTGTATAGCAGCCTGGAACAAGACAGCCTCAAATCAACTTGTCCCTTCCTAGTGCCACCATATTCTTGGATCAACTTATATTGTATCCCTACATAATCTTGGCATATACTCTCCTCAGACTGATGGGGTGTGATGCTGCTGTCCAACTTTTCCTTTGCATGAGATAGGCCCACAGTTAAGCTGTTGGTTCGCAATTACCCTGAAAGTGGAACAGCTCGAACCCTTACACCTAGTAGCAGCCACTGGGCTTAAACAACAATCCGAAGAGCCTCGAAACAATAAATATACGTCGTCTCCTACGGGGCAGGAGTAAAGCTGTTGTTGCAATGCATCCTCCCGAAGTGCGAGCTGAGTAGGCCAAGAGGGCCATCATTTGCAGGGACAGCGGTGAAGCCGCAGCTGTGTGTGAGTTTCCGTGCCGTTGCATTGCATTCTCCCAAAGGGGAAGTGGAGTTGTGCAGGGTTGCTGGGCCATGGTGGTATGGCTCTTTCGGGATCCAATGTAACTGCAAGCACCCGACGCTACTGTCTTCGGCTGAACGGTCAAGTTTGTTAGATGCCAGTGGAGTGTTCAGGCTGTATTGTTTTACTGTGCTGCTTGGTCGAAGCTTGAGGTAGTGCTCCTGCCAACAGCCAGCCGTCGAATGCCTCATGAGGATATAATGTGAGCCCCCTGCTGGGTTTTTAGTTCCGTTGTTGTTCCTAGATCCTAGATGCATGAGGCATGCTCTGGAGACTGTGCCAGCAGTGCATAATGTCCGGAGACCCGATGGTCTTTACTGTTGGGGTGCAATGGTGGTCCCGTTGCTCAACAGTACAGCTGATGCGGTCACAGGGGCCGTGTCGGATGAGTGAGGAGGTGTCACGCCGGAGGTTGTAGCGATGCAGCATGTGAACCGAGATGCAAGGGAAGATTTTGTGTGGAGTACTTAGTCGCATCCGGACTGTTTTATTTTGCCTTTCTGTTTGCGTGTCTGGGTACATGTGTAGTCATCGGGGCCAGCCACGGTTGTCGAGCTCGGGCCGCGCCTGCTTGGGGCAATGCCCCGGCCCTTCCCTCGAGGGGAGGGTATAGCAGTGAGAAGAAGAAGAGAGAGAGATGGTAGGACGCTCCAACCCCCGAAAAAAAAGGAGAAGCAGAAGAAGAAGAGAGAGTGTGTGGATCAGCAGAAGCAGAGAAAAAGCGTGATATCACGGGGTGAAACATCCAGAGCCTGCTCTTGGAAGCTCGGACTGCGGACAGGCCCCCGCTCGAGACACTGCCTTGGTTTCTCCCTGCAGGGGGCGGCAGAGCTGTGAAAGAAAGAAAGAAGGAGTCGTCAACCTGCCTCGATGCCGTAATCGTAGTGGACCTGCCTTCAAATGTGGTTCTCGCACGGTTCAGCAGCTCAGGTTGTTGGCGCCATGGCCACCAATGATCAAGCCTTGTTTCTTGGAAGCATGCAGAGACAGGGGTCATGGTGCTTAGCGGGCTTAGCCATTTTGTTGTGTCAGATCATGTTGTCAATCAGTCGCTTGCTTCTTTGCAAGTGAAGCAGCGATCCAGGCTGGTGATCTCAAAGCTGCGACCACAGTTGCGCAACTCGGAGCAGGACGATTGGGCGCTCGCAAGCCCACAACATGATGCACTGCGCACTTGTCCTGTGCTTCACGAAGTTCACCCGCAGGAGGAGGATGAGGTGGACGAGGAGCCGCTTGAGTTGGAAGATGGTGATGTGGAGGCTTAACTAATCCGCTTTGGCGCTTGCTGCAATTTTAGGAACCGACTTGAGTAAGCAAAGGTTGGAAGGAGAGCGCGAATTGCACTGGCTTTTCTGAGCTTTACGGCATGCTTTCTTCCGCTCACCCTGCTTCCCGGCAGCACTGTTTTTAATGATAGCTGCAGCCAGTCTTGTAGCACGACTCGCTGTGCAGCTCGGTGCAGCCCAGAACTGGCAAGCATAAAACACCCAGCAGTTCCACAACCATTGCTCCACCATTATTCCGAAACTCAGCTTCACGGCCGAACATTCTGCTCGTGTTGGTGTTTGTGGCATAGATTAGCCACATTCTGCTGCATCATAACCTGACATAGAAATGGTGTCCAATCCCTTTACGCCATTGCAGAGCACGCCACCTGATTGCACTGTCGATCTGTGCCTCCATGGAGATGTGCGACCATGCGTTGTCATCTTGTCGGTGTTGAGTTCAACTGCTGTGGCGTGCGCCGCTCAGGGAGCTCACGCTTTTAGGGACAAGTATCTGAGATTCCCGTATTTTCCTGCAATCAAGACCTTCTCTTGCTGACAATGGCTGCCAGAACGTATCACAATCATGTGGAATTTGCTGGCCCATTCACCCCGTGTCGGTGTGCAATGGCATGAGGTAGCCTTCATTTTGTACAAACTGCCATGGTCCCTCACGTGCAACTTGCGTGGGCGTGGCACCCCTTCATGATCATGAACTCTTTGAGGTTTGAGACCGGATTTCCTGGAAGCTCTTTGGGTATTGCAGCAGACGAAATGGCGGTCATTATTTCTGCCAGCGCAGCGGCGCAAGCAGCCTTCAGCGCAGCCCCAAGATTGACGTCATGTGGTGCTAGCATGGACGGATTCAGGTTCAGGTGTGTGTGTGTGACCAAGAGGCAGCCCGGAACTTTGAGGCCATGATAGGTTTCGGAACTCCTCAAGAGCTTGACGCTATTATGATACACCAAGCTGTGCTCTGTCAACATCAAAACAGATGTGTGGGGGTGGATGGATGCAAAAATGTGTGTCCAACTCTCTTGGCGCCTCTGCTGGTCCAGGTTTTCTCATCGCAGAGAAGTTCTTTGCCGATGCGGAGCGCCGGGTTGCAGCGCAGTCCCGACAAGCGGCTTTATCCGAATTGTTTTTCGCGCAGGTACGCTGACCCAAGGTCTTGCATTTCAACAGGTCAATCGATTGATTGAGCATTGCATTCCAAGCCACTTGCAAAGCCTGGAAAGGCGCAAGCAGATTCGGCCGTCCTGGGGGCAAACAGCGCCGTAAGCGCGACAAGCCTTGGGTTCGCATCAGTGGCCGTTGAATTTTCCAAAGCATATTCAGCTTTTGCGCTGTGGCCTGCAGCGGCAGCCTTAGCCTCTCATAAACGCATGTGCAGCATTTTGAGCGGAGACCAGTATTCCATCGTGCTTTCTATGCGTGTGCGCCACGGCCGGTAGGCTATGAAGAATCTCTGAAGCCTGGTAAGCTATCCTTCTGCAAAGCTTTGATAGGAAAGGAGGCTGACAGGTCATTCAGCTGGGGAGGAGGCCAGGGAGCCCAACAGCAGGGTCTGGCTGGTTGCTGCGCCAGGCACCCGCGTTCGGCATGAGGACTTCGCCAGTTTTCTGGTGTCACTGAGTGGACTATGCAACATACCCCCGGAACATGGCCCTGGAACGTCCTTAGTTGCAATAAAAGGGCAGCAAAACTTCTGGAACTGTCGACTTGCCACCCAGCCCCGTAATGCCAAGGCGCTCAGGTGCTGAGACATGGATGATAGCTGCAGAAGGAGGGGTGTGGCGGGTCTTGCAGAGAGTGTGTGGAGGGTGATGGAGGGTGGGTTTGGCGGGGGGGGGTGGGCGTGTTCGTGTGCGGGATGTTGGGGGTGGAGGGAGCGAAAGGCTTGGGGCAAATGGCAGGGGCGGGCGGCCTCGATAGGCGGCCGGAAGGCTCTGGCAGGGATTTCGCTTCGACTCTGTCGGGGCCTCAAAAACCACCACCTTGTGCAGTCTATCTAACATACCTTGAAAATCTGCGTTAACATGGCATTAAACATGCATTAACCATCAGTTAAAATGCCAGTAACGCTTGGAGTCCCGCCCCTGAACCTCCACAAGCTCCATCCTCAGATCAAGCCTGACGGATTGAAATCAATCCTCACCCCTCAGAGCTTCTAGCTGGGTTTTTGATAGAAACCCCCCAACCCTAAATGCCCAACCGAAACCCTGAACCATCAACCTACTTCAAAGTCTTCTAACAGCTCTCACTGGACCTCCCAAGCGATTGCGCACCAAACTGCGCAACGATTGCAAAACAAACTCTTGCCACTGCTGCGCCATCAGATAGTTCAGAGATTTTATCACAATTTCATTGAATGCCTAAAGCTCTGCATGCAAAATGCCTCAAAAGGGGATTGCAAAACGCATTTTCAAGCTTTGTGTATGGTGTTCTTAATGCTCTGTTCGAGAGGTGTCTTACATCAACCTTTGATTGAAGGTGCGATTTGCAGTCCAATGCCTCAAGACTGAGGTGCTCAGCACATTGCGCTCAACAGCAAGTTCGCTGACATCTCGTGCTGAAGCTGATGCAGCCTGGCTCGAAAACCGAGCTTCGCAGCGCGCCTTGGGTGGCACTGCCGGGAGCATGGACAGCGTGTCCGCTGCAGTACGTGAGTTCCGGCAACTGCAGCGCGATTTTTCACTGGATGATTTCACGGAGTCGGTGCGCGGTGAGCTTCGCAATCTCGATGCAGACTGCAGGAAAGATTTTCGTGGACTATCAGCAGAGCAGCGGCGAAAAGTGCATCTCGTTGCAGCAGAGCTTGGGATGCTTTCCCAATCCTTCGGTTTGTCCAGAGATACCAGATCTCGGAGTGTTCGGGTTACCAACATCTTATCTAACCGAGGAGCTCTCGTAGATGAGAACCCATCTCACGAAGGCGTTCTCAGTGACATCAACTCCTTAGTGGGGACTCTGACAGAGGAAGCTTCGCAGATCGAGAAAAGTTTGCAACAAAGAGGCCAAGAAGAGAAAGCCGTGGCGGCGCTTTTGATTCTTCTGAGCACAGCCTCTCCATGGTTATTGGGCAGTGGTTCAGCTGAATTGTACCTTCCCCTGGCCACCGGCACGGTTGGGCTGTGCACAGCCTGGCAAGAGACAGCGGGCAAAGGGGCAGTAGCCACAGCAAAACGGCAGAGCGCTTTCTTGTTAACACGAGAGGCTCGGGCTGAACTCTTCCTAGGCCGAGCGCAGATTGCATATGCTGCCCTCCCAACAGACCTGGCAGTGGCAACTCTTGCGACAACTGCTACGGTTCTTGCAGTTGAGCTTCGGGCTGGCAGCATTTTGAGCTTCACGGCGTTGTCAATGGTCATTCCAGCAATGGCGGCTTGTTCAGTGGCAATGCACCGACGCCGCAAAGTGGAAAGGTTCGTCGCTGCGAGCATGAGATGCGTTGATGCAAGGCCGGCCTGCTCAAGCAATACACCTTGGAAACAGACGCTGCAGCGAAATAGAAAAGCTTTGAAATTTTAAGACCTTCGGAACTAACCCATGCTTGTAAGCAGACCAGCTGCGCTCCCTTATTGAGGAGATGGTGGTTGTTGCCTGCCGTTTCTGCATTAGTTGCTCCTTGCGACATATTCGGCAGTGTGACAGTCGCTTGCGCTGCGCTGTCAGCGGAGATCGCACTAGCAATGTCAGATTGCTTGTCCTGCATGGCCGATGCAACAGGCCGGGAAGAAGTTGACTTTGCTTTCAAGTATCGAGCCTGCCTTCTCGTCTCAGTGTGAATGGGTCTCCAGGCAGCATAGCAAGAGCCGGCCGCACGGTAGCCACCGCGGAAGCCTGGTCTCAGCTTGCGCAGTTTTCTGTTCGGGCCTTGCCTGCACGCACTTCGCTTGCGGTAGTCCGCTGCTCAGGCACGGGCTCCCTTACTGCTGAAGAGTTGTCAAAGAGTGTTCGGGATCAATCCAGGTTGCCACGCTGGTCGCCACTGCGCTGGTTGAATTCTCGTTGCCTCTGTGCCTTGTCATACTTTGCAGGCGTAACTAATTGTTCCAGAAACCCGCCAGCGGAACTGGCTGTGATCTGACAGCGGCTTGCTGTGATTGCTACAGATCTCGTGCCCAAATTCTTTCGACAGGCCAACGTCTAGGCCAGGCTGATTGCATCCGCTTATGCAAGAACAGGACTGAATCTTGCGACAGCGCACAGACACGCTACACGCTACTTTCTACAGCTCCTGCCACGAGGCCGCCGCCACCGCCGCTGCCACCACCGCCGCCGCGGCCCCACCCCGGCACCACCTACCTTGACTCACAAATGATGCGATGACAGAACACATCATATGCAGTACTGCCAAGTGGCAGTGGTAGCAAAAGCAAGGGTTGCGTGCCGTAAGAGAAGCAGCAAAAGCAGCGACTGCCGCCGCAGTCGGACACCACCTGGCGCAACACCAGCGTCGAGTAGCTGTGGGGCCAGTGTGTGCGGAGAGAGTTGACCACAGAAACTGACAGCGATGGCACGCATGCTTCCACAGCTGATTGGCAATGTTCAGTGTTTTTGGGCCTGTGCTGTAGGGACCATCTCTTCTGCGGTAGTGGTAGATGGTACTAGCTTGGCCGTCTTGCTGCCCAGAGGGCGCGCGCTGAGGTGCGCGCTGTTTCCTGCGCTGAGTGCGGCGGTACTTGTACGTTCAGTTCAGCTGAACAGGCTGACTCACTCCCCTCTTTCAGCACCTTGCAGCTGTATTCATACCTGTCAGCCATGACTCTTGACTTTGGCAGGCAAGCCCAAACCGCTTCTGAAAAGTTGGAGCAGGACAGACTAGGATAGATATGCACGCAGTTGCACTGACACTCCTGCCTGGACCAGGAGTTTACAGATATGCAGGTCTTGATGAAGGCTGTGCAGAAGCCATAGTCAGCGGAACCTCTACCCGTTTTGGGCTACATTAGCACCAGTCTGCCACTAACCCACCCATTATAGAGGATTGTTCCTATACTCCCCCCTACATCTCACCCAATATATCACTACTACTTCCCCATTCTTATCCATATTAGAGGATCATTCCTATACCCCCTACTACAACTCCCCCAAATATCACCACCACGTCGCCATTACAAAGACAAGCATTGAATTAACCAATGGAAGAGTATTTCAGTTTTTTTTTTTTTTGGCTTGTTTTTTGGTATATCTTTTTGTTCTTGGCTTCTCGGCTTCCCGGCTTTCCAGCTTCTTGGTTCTTACGGCTTTCCTGCTTCTCGGCTTTGCGGCTTCTAGGCTTTTCGGTTTGCTCGCTTCTCAGCTTCTTGGCTTCTGGGCTTTCTGGCTTCTTAGCTTCTCCTCCTGCTTGGCTTCTTGACTTTCTGGATTCTTGGTTTCTCCCCCAACCCCAGGCTTTAGTGAAAGCCATTCCGCTTTTGTTAAAGCATCATGTCATCAGCATGCAGTAAGGGAAGGTTGTGCGGATCATGTTGGTTACAAATGGGGGAGTTGCGCCCCCCCATCCCCCCTTCGCTTTTTTGAGGCCTTCCATGCTTGCGTGAAAAATACATGCCATCACCATGTTTGCAGTAGGGGAAGGTTGTGCAGATCATTTTGTTTGCGAATGGGGGCACTGCTGCGCCCACCCACAACCCGCCTTTTTTTTAAAAGTCATCCATGCCCACGGTTCAAGAATCATGTCATTGCAGGGCAAGGGAGGCTTATTGGCTTGTAGCTTAGTCTTATTATCATCACCATTGTCAGCAATGCATCTTCTCATTTCATCATTACTGGTATGATTACTTTGATTACTATTGCCACATGTGTTATTCGTTCTCATCTCTAGTCCAGTTATCACTGATTTAGTGAGCTCTCGCAGGAGCATCCTAGCAGATTGAGCTCTCTCGCGGGGAGCTTTTTCATATTTCGTCATCAAGTTGAGCTCCCACGGAGAGCGTCCTCAAATTTGGGCTCAAAATTGAGCTCTTCTAAGGAGGTGTCTCACATGCTGACACCAAATTCGTGGAGCGTTCTCCCACTTTGAACTACAGAAAGCCCAGGAACACCCAACAACAAAAAATGCACACCCAAAAACATATTTAAACTATTTTTCACCCAATTCTTAGCCATATAACAGTTGCCCTTAGCAGGGGCACTGCACCTTCTGTCCTTGGTTTTCAGTCCAGCGAGTTTTTTCTATTCCATGAACTTCTTTTCGCCCCAGCCAGAAATCACAGTGTTTTTCTCCCTTCCGGGCCTTATGCAGCCGTTCCTCGCCTCGGATGTCTAAGTGAGCTCACGTTCTGATGCAAAGTTTCTTGGATGTTCGGCATCAGAATTCCGTCCTGCAGCTGCTGCCCGGCGTAGGTTAATTCAGACCGCCGCTTTGAAACTAAACCTGGTAAAATCTATGATGAGGGAACTTTTGCCCACTTTAAGTGGGCAGACTTTGGGATGATACTACCACCTTAGGGAATGAGGATGGGTTAATCGGTTGTTCCTATACTGGTCTTGGCAAGGGGGAAGTAGTGGTCATATTTGGGAGTTGTAGCAGGGGGTATAGGAATAATCCTCTAATGTGGATAAGGTAATCGACGATTGCTGTATTCGTACTGGCAATGGGGAAGTAGTAGTGCTATATTGGGTGAGTAGGAATAATCCTCTAATGGGTGTGTTAGTGGTAGACTGGTGGTATTATTACCCGAAACGAGCAAAGGCTCCGCTAACTACAATGACTTCGAATACTTTGCGGATCAAAATCTGAAATCGCTAGGCAGAGCCATGGGCAAGGCTGCGACGACTATCTGGCCAAAGCAGCCGGATAGGATTGTTGCGAGAGTCTCGAGACGCCAGGCAGGTAATGTTGGCCCTGAAGGGGCTTTGCTGAAAGCTCAATACTGTAAAGGAGGCTCTTGGATGCATGGTAGCGAAGCCTTGTGTTACGTAACTTGTCCACGGTTGTTTGCAGTCGTGTGCGTGGCTTCATAGCGCGAAGTCCGGAGGCCTTAGCCTTAGCCGCCTCTCCCATATCCACGTTCACGTTGCAGGTTGTGATGTAGTCTTTGCCCTTGCATGAGCCTCTAGTTGACTTCTGATTTCAGAGGTCTGCGCAACAAAGCATCATTAGCGCTCATTCGCTGTGATGAGGTGATAATGCATGTGCACACTTGGTGGCAGGCGGGCCTTCGATCCCGGTGTGCTTACGATTGCCTACTGGAGTAGCAAGCTGCGGCGAAGTTTTATCAGGCCGCACATCTGGGCTTCAGAAAGTCAGTGTGACATGGTACTATGCAATCCGTGAGGTTGAAAAACCTTTGGGAAGATCGAGGCCCAGCTGAAGCGTACCAGCCAGCACCAGCCGAGCAGGCACCCGTTGCGTGAGACTCAGCGGTGTTGTGTCTCCGTTGCGCTGCATGCAGGCGGTACAAAGCATCCAGCGAAACTTGCAGGAGTTTCGAACACTGACGAGGCTTGGACTTTCTGGTTTGGCAATTTCCAGGTGTCTTTCGTATGGCCAAGGTTCAACTCCAGGACTTGGTTTCGCACCTTGTCCGTTGTTGGCCTCGTCGCCATGGCTTCCGTGCTGCAGCCGTGGTTCCTGTTTTCCAGCAGTGAGGCAAAACCTTTGCCTTTCTGTGTCAAGGCCGTCTTTGGATGTCTTTGGGGTAAGCCTGCTTTTCGGTGCAGGTGGTCTTGCCAGTCGCGGGGGCACTTTTGACCATTTTCGTTGCAGTTGCCGTCCTAATTCCTGCCAGTCTGTTCTGGCTTTCTGCAGAGAATAAGTTTGAATAAGTCGTGGACCCCAGTTTGGTCATGATGGGCATGGATGTAACCTGTGCTGAGGCTTCGGAAAGCGAAGCTCGCCGGAGTGTTTCTGCCGCCAAAGCCAGCCCCCATTTTTGCCAGAACAATCTGTAGCTTTTCTTAAGGTTTCCGGGAGGAATGCTAGCAATCCGCACTGAAGGTGAAGGCAGCGGACATAAAGGCTGCAACAAGCACGATGGAGGCCACACGGTAACAGCTCGTCAGTTTGTGAGTGGTCCCCCTTGCAAGTTCCAGGAGTTGTCATCATCTGCCATGCAGTTCCGCTCGCGCCTGGTTGCTTGGGCCGGAGTCACGGCAGCTACCTGCGTTTCCAAGCTGCAAGTAAGTATTTCTGCTATGACTAGAGTCTAGGGGTGAAAGGTCCATGCCCCGACTGCACTTGGGTAGTGGTTTCGTGTCTTCTGTACAGGTCTTGTCTGTGATCTCTATCAAGCATTGGCCAATGGCAGCCAGGCCACGGCTTATGTAGGTTTAGAGCAAAAGTGGCGTATCTTGCCCTGCAGGTATGAGTGGCTTGGTTTTGCCCAGCAATTCTGGAGGCTCCTACTCGTGAGCGCGCACGCAGCCGAGCACTTAGCGTGCGGCAGCTTGCTCAACACGACTCTGCCTGGCCTGACTGAAGCATGCCAGGGTGCAGCTATGGCTAGCATTGCGCCCGTCAAAGCCCTGCCCTCAGAATCAGACTATGCATTCTTTGGGCTTGCATTTTACAATGACACGGCCCAGAGGCCTTGTCTCCCCAATTGTCCCATTGTTATTGCCCAGATGTCCCCGACAATCTTGGGTTCATGAAATGGGACTATTCTAGTGTCAAGAAGCATCAGCACGCGGCTCGCATTTGGAAGCTTGGGGCCAGTGTTGCTAATCCCCTTGGTTTCTTGTAACGTGTGACGTTGTTTTGGCATTGCAGACACAGACCACCTTTTCTATCTCGATGCCCTGGGTCACGCCGTGTTGTTTTTGGGCCCTGCGACAGCTTTGCTGCTTGCTGAGCCTCCAAAGCTCCCCCTCCGCATCCCCCCATCCCATCTTCATCCCCGGCCCCCCCTCAAAAGCACCCATGCATCCCACCTATCCCGCCCTCTTCGGAATGCCCAGGCGGAAGGCGCGGCCAGTTGTTTTTACACGCTCTGTCAAGGTATGCTCGAAGCAACTTGTGCCCGTCCGAGCTGTCTTTGCCACATGCCCTGAGGCCGTTTTGCTTTGGACGTCGCAGGTGAAACTGGACATGCCAGCGTCGAGGTCCTCTGCCTGAGTACTTTGCTACTTTTCTTAGTCTCAGTGACTCAGTGTGAGTTGCCAGGATGGTTATGTCTCCAGCTCCACTGCAGCCTGGAGCTCTGTCCCGTGGCCAGCTTCCAAAGGGCAGCCGTCGACCTGGCATCAAGTTCAGGGGTTGGGCGCAGTCTTAAAATGTGCGACTTGAGAATGACTGAAGAATGGCAGATAACAACAAATGTGGACATGTGACTGTGAAGTAGCTGCGGGCTCACTCTGGGGTTCATGTGGCTTATCTTCATCACATTGGGTTGTTTACATGCTTTAGAATCTGGCAAAGTGATTTCTTCTGTAAAGTTTTGCGGGCTTGGGTTCCGAGGTATCGGACCAGCAGGAGCAATGCAAGGAGTTGATGTTAAACCTCTTTAAAGGGGTCGAAGCGATCCTCCTGCGGCCAGGTTGGCTTGATCTTGTGTGTGGAGGAGGCGCCTGGATGTCCAGGCCTCTGCTGGCACTGTTGAGACAGCATGTCGCGGGAGCAGGGTCTCTTACAAGCATGACTGCTAGACTTAGAAAGGGAGGCCTCGGATGCTGCCAGTGCCGTACAGCACGCCCACGGATGCAGCTTAATTGCCAGCCTTGGCTGCGGATGCCCGAAGCAGGGTTTCTGCAAGTGGTGAGTTTTTGTAGCTTGGATTGCTCATGTTGTCTTTGGAAGAAGTGCTAGACATAAGGAAAGGCTTCTGAGCCTTGCAACATGTTCGGCATTTTTCCTTTGCTACAGGAAGACGCAAGCATGTAGAGCATCCAAGATGCCATGCTCATGATGGCGCTCAGTGGGATACAGTGTCAAGTGTGGTGGTGCTCAGGTTGCATCTTCTTGCCGGTGCTCCAGGCATCTTGTTGGCGGTGTTTCCGTGTTCCAGGAGACATTTACAAGTCGCTACTAGTAGCACAGTGCACCGCAATCCCGGAGCCTTGTCAGGAGCTTCGAGCAAAGGACAATAGCATCAACGGCTGCAAGCAGCTTTGTGGCGTGAGCCTTGTTTACAGTTCTTTGGGGCTGCCATCCTGAAACTCAACTGGTTGCTTGGGCATGAGGTGGCTGCAATGCTATTTGTCGCAGAGCGGGCACTTTACCAAGCGGACGGGCAACACACACGGCTGCGCAGCATTTCCAATTCTGAAGACTTGGTATGCGCGAGGAGTTGCTCATAGCTCGGAGGCGAACAACATTCGCATTAACAGACACCCTCGCAAACGAGGCATGCAAGTTGTCAAAGCACCCAGGCTGACGTGCTGGAAATAGATTCCTTAGAGGCTGAACAACAGAGTTCATTGCTGCCAGTTGCTACCGTTGCGGGCTCAGATATGAGAAGGCTAGGGAATCAGAAGCCTAGTATCACTGTAGCATCAGTGTTGCGGAGGTAGGGCGAAGCGGTGTGCCTTTTCTACTTGCAGCCCAAAGTTAGGACGGCAAATCCATTTCATCAGAGTGCCCAGCGCGGCAGCCCTTTGATGCTTCCGCAGCATTTTTTTACCTCAGCAAGAGTATTGGCTGGAGAATCGTGTCAATTTATCATCTGATAGCCCTTTGTTCGGATACACGGACTGGGGCTGGCAAATGGGCCTATGCTTCCTTCGATTAAATCTGAGAAGGAGAGCAGGTTTTGGGAGTCAATTTCCATCATTTCGTTTTTGACAGGGCCAGGTTCAGTCGAGGAAGAGTTTGACTAGGTATACTAGGTACGCATGCACCACCCCCGATGCGTCCAGAAGGCCCCTCACTCATGATGGGTACCAGCAGCGATAACGGCCGTTCTACGAAAGACACGTGAACTCCCCCAACTTGATGTACACTGAGGAATACTTTCGCAATTGAATATCATTAAACCATGGAGTTCTGGGTCCAGGATAATCTCATGATTATCAGCCAGCTTACTACATCTCATTGCATGGTCTGGCAGGCTGGCGACAGCGACCATCATATCCCCTTAGTACATCCGTACGTTCCTTCCAACTATCCTGATCCATGTACAAAGGCGCCCTGTGTGACAAGGCTGCCACCATTGCAGTGTCTGCCGCTGTGACTTTTGGTGTTGAGCTGAACCCCTTCGCTGCTTCTGCATTGGCCCTACTTCAGGCAGGATGAGAATGAGAGCAGAGAAGTCAGCAAAGTTGAGCTGCTCCTGTGACAGGCGATAACTTGGGTCCTGGCGTCCAGGAAGGCCCTCGAAGCCAAGTTTGGAAGCGATGCAGCAGTGCAGGTGCGTACTAAAGGCACAACATTTGTCATGTTCCACAGAGCAAGTAGAATGCAGGTGGCCACAGTCACCGCGGGTCGAGGCTCAAGGCCAGGACGGCTCCCGGAGGCGAAATTGAGCATGCCCTCTTTTTCTGCAACGCTTTACTATGCCTTGCCATGCCTATGGATGTTGTGAGGAGACGTCTCAGAAGAAGTCTGGTCAGTGGCGAAGCTTTCTGAACGTACTGGCTTAGGTATGGTGTGTTTAGGAGGGCCGTGGGTTTTGCTTGCGACTCTGAAGCCTGGGCACAATGTTGCCCTTCTAGCGTGCAACATGGTGAACAACAAGGAGAAGCAACTGGCATTTGCTCGCAGGTGCTCGTAAGGCTCCTTACTTGAAGAAGGTTGGCTTAGTTACTGCTTTTGACTTTTGCGGTGACTTTTGCAGCAGCCTCAGTTCGCGCTGTAGTTATCTTGGCGATGGTCGGCGTTGCTTTGCTCCCACACAGGGGCGCATTACATGTTGCGAGTCAGTTCTCAGTCAGGCTGTCCATGCTCCATCGCTATTCGGTGCGAAGCTGTAAATCCTGAACTGCTATGGGTGAGATCATTAATTCACACTGCACATCATTCGCGGAGCTTTGGTATGAGATGGCGACACAGGCAGCAACCAATCGTACTGGAGCTTCAAGCTCGTTGATCTTGGTCTTCTCCGCGAACACTGTGCCTGCTGCCACAAGCATTATCCAGCCATGAAGCCAGCCACAACCGTTCAAAGTGCTATAAGGATAGGGATAGGGGTTGCTTCAACTCTGCCTACTTGGCGACACGACCATTCTAAGATTGTATGCGCACATCCTGGGAAAATGCAGTGGGTGATTTTTCTGTCAGTTTTGCGTGCAGTTGGAAGCCTTTTACATCAGGCAGGCTGCACTCGAACATGCCCCCGGAATGATGCGTTCTGTTTTCACCCAAGTCTTGCCAATGCAGGTGAGCTCGCACTGACAGCTGGTAGCTGCAGCACCCCTCGCGTCAAGGATCACAACATGTTGGCGGGACACCCTTGAACTCGATGACCTTTGAGTGCGCACTGGGCCTCGTCGGCTGCCAAACCACCCTGCGCCTCAACAGCAACAAATTTGGGTCCAGCCGCTTAAGTCGAAAAATTGACATCAAGTGTAGCGCGAATCATGTATAAGAAGCTCATCTTCCCAGGGTAGCGTACCCCTACTTCTTAGCTTAGTTCGCTTGAGTTTTTCGCGCATCAACGGCGGGCGGGCAAGCCTCTGCTATTTGGTGTTTGCTCCACTTGTTTCTTTGCCAGTACGGCTAAAAGCATCCTGACAGGTGGGAATCCAAGATTTTCGGAAATTTTTTCTCCGCTCTGAATAAGTTTGTAAAGGAATTGAGAATGTCAAATAAACCTTAAAAAGCCAGGAGACCAGGATTTCACCAAAATCGTCTCCGTCATGCATAAACCCGAAGAAGAATTTGGAAGACCAAAAAGCTAGCAGCTAGCCCCCAAAGCCAGCAATCCATGACTTCGCCAAAATCGCTTCCGTTTTCTAGAAGAGCCCACCATGCACGATTTCCCCTCAAGGCAACATGAAGGTGGTGCAAACACACAAGCAGGGACCTGGTCAAAAAACTGACGGGCATGGAAAGTGCGTCACCTCAAGTTGGGGTGAAACTCTCGGCCGATTTTTTGCAGTATGTGATCATGGCAAAATGGTGACCGCGTGCGCTTGTGTTCATTGTGTTCAGCTTGACATGTGCCATGCCGTCGGGTCTGCTTACAGAAGCCAAGCGTTCGTATTTTCTGTCCTGCCTGGCCCGGCCGCTTTTTTCTGGTGAGACTCTGGGCTGCGGCCCTGCCGATTGTGCACCTGCACAGCAGCTGTCACCTTCAAGATCCTGAAAGATCCTTAGCGTACATAGCCTTACAGCGGCAGTGTCTGTAGCACGCTGCCTCGATCTTTTTGACAGCCGTTTTGCTCAAAACAGATCACGCAGATGACCTTCACGAGATTGCACCTGGATTTATTATGTTTCAAGACGTGTTAGAGAGTCTCGGTTCCCTACCGGCAGAGTTCACAGCCTGTCCGCATTTGGCCATGGGTTGTTCCTCCAGCCGAGCGACTGTTAAGGCTTTTCTGACGCACTCGGCAGCCGTGTGCACGGACATGCTCGGACAGCAGCTTGCATCAGCTTGCAGACCAGAGGTTCATCCAGCTGCGGGTGTGGTTCCTGTCGAAGGGTTGGCGACTCAATTTTTGGTGCGCCGGAGCACACCGGGGTACAGAAGTTGTTTTGGCTGCAAGCCTGGTGTGCAGGAATCCTCGTTTACCAGTGTCGGGCACAGCTTCAACTGGACCTCCAAATTCGTCAGCTGCTGGAGTGGCACGGGTCAAGCTGCCACTTTTTTCCCAAGGAATTGCAGGGATGAAAAGCGCACTTGCTAGTATTCTCATGGAAGAGATTGAGTCACAAGCTGCTGAGCAGCCAGGATCAGGCTAGCCAAGCCCCGCCAGCAAGCAGGTCAGCTTGCTTTGAAAGTGTTTTTTGTGTTGAAGTCGTTGGTCATGTGCTCGGATGCTAGGCCGGCCCCCAACGACGCAAACTCACCCAAGGCAAAGCCCTTGACTTTGATCAAGGCCTGCAGTGTACCGGTTCCAGGCTGAGCACAGCAAACAATGCGTTGCAACAAGCACCTTTCAGGCAATAAAAGCCAATGATTTGGGATCCTTGGATGAGTCTTTACAGTCTCCAGATTGCAATTTGGAGGCGGGGGACTGGACATATGCAAGGCTGTGGACTTAGACGGCGTGAACAGGTCCTTGGAATGTGGGACAACACCCCGCTCCTCGTAGCCTGCATGTATGGCCGTTCTGAAGCTGCTTGGCCGCACGTTGCAGCTAGCGATACGAACGTGGTTTACATCACGGCGGTATCTTCGCAGGCTGCCTTGCGGCTCATTAAGCGTGGTGCCAACATTTTTGCCAGGAGCACTCTTGTGTTTGCATATGTAGGTGGGCCTTTGCAAGATGTGCAGGAACGAACATGGTGCAACCCCGCTTCACTATGCCGCGGTGGAGGGCAGCACTGACGTTGTCAAATCGTTGATTCAGGCTTCGAGGAGAATTAGGGCACGCTTTGTTGGCACAGTGTTGCTGCGTGTGCGGCAGAGGGAGCAGGGTTTCAATAAGCCGAGAAGCGACGCATAAAAGCGCTCCCCTCAAAGATAACAAGGCGCCAAGGCCCTGGGAGAGCCATTGCCAATCGAAGAATGCTTGGCTCGTAGGTGTTACGAGCAACTGCTTAGAAGACCGGTGCGCATGTTCCACAGCGTTTGCGCGCTGGCAGTAGTCACAATGTGGCATATACCTCCGATTGATCCTGTCACTTGACTCCTCAGTCGAGAGGCTCATAGCGCGATGGGGTACCACCTGGCGTTGAATTGAACACTCCGATGTTCATGCGACAACGAAGCAACACCGAAGCCGGCCAAAAAGGACCACAACCGTGCCAGCAGTGCGACGCGAGTGCCGAATACCATTCTCAGCGGTCAAGGAGCTTCAGCTTTGAACTGCAGGGCTCGTTGAGCGACATATTCTGGAAACCTGAGCTCCCAATCGTGCTTGGAGACTGAGAGTCGCTGGAGGCCACAGATATCACAGAGAGGCCTCCCTAGATGGAATGGTCTTGCTTCGTCTACGAATGCTGCTCACTAGAAATAAGTGCTGGCATGGCTGAGTGAAAGCCGACCTTGGACTGCCTCTCTTCTTCGCACTGCTTTTTTCACCAATACTTTTGGTGTTTGGAAACGAAGCTGCTGCACGTTGGTTCATGTTTATTCTGTTCGTGTAAATGAACAAAGAGAGACCAATTCTGCGGATCTGCTGACCCCAAATCTGGCATGGAAGAATCCGCCGACATTGCCGGATATCTTGAGCTTCGTTTTTGATGCGCTTACTATGGGGTGATGTCTCAGGGAGGAAGCAAGCCCGGGCTGCTAGCCTAGAGTCGAACATGCGCAATGTGTGCATGGAAACGTTTGAGGAAGGCATTCTTCTGCAAAAGCTGCGCGGAAGTTCAGCTTCAGAATTAGCGGTATCTTACAATGTTCAGAATTAGCGGTATCTTACAATGGAAGAGTTAGGTAACGCAGCATTCCAAAGGGAGTGAGACAAGTAAATCCCCAAAATGTGCCAGCTGACAGGTAAAGCTTGTCATGTTGATTTCGGACCTGCCGTTGTAGTGTCGAGACCTCATGCAGCGCAGCTGGAAATTATGTGCACATATCTCCTGCAAATACTTTGAATTTCCCGCCTTGGCTCCGTTTGCGGTCTGCTCCCGGAAGCCGTCGAATAAGCGTTGGTGGAAGTGTGATGTAATTAACAAGCATCGTCGCGGCAGTAAAGTAAAACCCCACATGGATGGGGGGGAGGCGGGCTAGACCCCTCCCCCGCAAACCCTCCACCACCGAAATGAGCGCGCGCACGACCGCGGAAGGGTCTTGTGAGTCTTGTGCAAGCATTTCTTTGCACACTTCTGTTGGGTTTGATTCTCCTTTCCAGCCATTCCTGCGCGTGTGCGCGTTCTGGTTTGGAGCCTCATATCGTTGAGTTTTCGGCACTGCTGGTTGGCATTGATGGTTGGTTGGCTATGGATTTTACAGGGGTAGGTTTGAAAATGCTTTTGAATTTTCATTACCTTTGATCCCTATTTAATCCGTCTGAAGCCATAAGAATATGATTGTCACACACCCCCAAAACTACCCGTTTTTATCGCAGAAGGAAGGAAATACATTGTTTTCATTCATGGTGCGCAGCAGCAATCACCAGTATGAGGTTGCATCTATTTGCCGTTCTTGGCCTTCATGTGAAAGAGTGCCTCAAGCCCGACAGGCGGCTGCTGAAGGTGGCGGCGGCAATGAGAACAAGCTCGTCAATTGCATGCCCGCAAAGGTGGCAATTCTTCCAGACGTGTTGCAAGAGCGGATGCTGCGACAGCTTCTGCCAGAGGCTGCAACATGTTGCGCGTATTGCGCAGGTGTACAACCGCCACCTGGAAGCCTACGGTCAACGAACGCACGGAGCTGAGTTGTGTTGAGTTCAGGCCTCAACAGGATTTGTGTGCAGAGTGCTTTCCCTCATAGTTCGCCTCTTTCTGAGTCCCTTGGCTGCTGCTGCCGAGAGTGGCTTTCTGGAGCTGGTGCGCATTCTGCTGGATGCTGGAGCGCTTGATGATCCGGATGAGGATGGGACATGTTTGGCAGCACTAGGCGTACTGCAAAGCGGCAAAGCCGAACGTGTGGCAGACGCAAGTTGTTGCATGACGCGACACTGTATAAAGATGAACTCTTCAAAATCGTGCCAAGAACTCCAGGTCCAGCCGCCCGTGAATGTTTTAGATTGCTGCATTCTCAGCGTTGAAGACGCCTGCTGCTAAACTCAATGCATGGACACATTCAAGAGTTCTGCACATATAGAGCTAGGATGGTGCAAGGAGGTTGACAGACGTTTTGAAGCTACACCGAAGACCAGGGGTTGGGGGCTAAACACGTTAGAAGTTTTAACGCTTAATCATACCAAGCGTCTAAACTGTCTAAACATAATGCGGGTGCAGGTCTGTTTAAACAGTAGGTTACGTTTAAACAGGTGAGCGTCTGAGCATGTTTAAGCATTCCTCCGCTTAAACAAGTTTAACCACTCTGCTTAATGCTCGAGGGAACGATGAACTTCAGACATGTTGAACCTTGGCTGGGTTCTGAGGAAGAGGAATATATTACCTTACTACTTTTACAACTTGTATTGCTAGTACTTGCACGCTAGTACTACTAGTACTTAATCACATCACAAGCAGCAACAGAAAAGGCACCAGCGTGCACCACCCCACCACCCACTGCCACCGCCGCCGCCACCACCACCACTCCCACTACCAGCACCGCCCCCACCGACCCACCACAGCCATTGTCTCCGCCCCCACGGCCACGCATCTAAGGCGCCTTGAGTGAGGAGCCCCAATAAGAATTCTGCATACGGACTGTTATGAAAACCCTTGATAATAAACATTCCGAGGAACACTGATGAGAATTCCGTGTACGCGCTAAGAAGGAGAGGCCGACCTGCGGAATGCGCTGGACACCGGCCCTCTGGCACATCATGGTCAGGCGCGAACCGCCGGCGCAGGGGCCGAGGCCGCCGGAGCTGCCGTCGCCACCAGCATGCCGGGCCAGCTGTGAGCGAGGGCACTGACTCCGCACGCGAACAAGCAGCGCCAAACCCCGCCACGCACGATCGCGCCTTTACCTTTCCAGCTGGCACGTGGGAGCAACTGGATGAAGTCGACCTAGCGGCCGAGCTTCGGAATCCAGCCCCCACATTGCAGGATGTCCCTCACTGCATGCGGACACCCGTGTGCAATGCTCTCCTGTCGGCCCCCAACCAGCTGCGTTCGGCGTATGAGGCTGGTGCTGGCCCTACTTGATCGTTAAGCAGTTCAAGCAGTTTAAACGGTTTAAACAAGAGGCCCCAGAGGCACCATTTCCGAGGCATCCTTTACACGGTTTCAACGCCTCTACTTACCAAGGACCCCTAACATTGATCTGGGGATAAAGCATCGGTAACATTACTGTAGTGAGACGGGGCTGGGGACTCCATCATTCAAACCTGAAACCTCAATCTGCACCTTGACCTGTTTCACCTTGAAATCCAGCCCGCCTCCACAATCAAGCTCCGAATAAGCCCTCACACCCCAAATCATGCCCATCCCCCCGAAGGGTCTGAGCATACACTTCTTTGCCTTGAGCCATTGCATGGGCGAGGTTGCGTGTCATCCTTGCAGTGGCCATGCTTCGATAGCCTGGCACACACTTCCGATTTGTGCGTGTCATCCTGGCAGGGAGCATGTGTCACACTCGTCCATCTTCTTGCAAGTCTTCCACTACTACAGCCAAAAGCTTGTCAGCGATGTATCCCCACTGTAGGATGTTTGTTTGATGCATGTTTCCATCCCATATCTCTTCGTCAAAATCCCAATCATTGCGCGACAGCCAAAGAGACAAAGGCAAACCCTCAACAGCATCGAACTCTCGAAACTGCAACGCCCTTTCCTTAGGCCATCCCTGCTGACTAACACAGGCTGCAACATCTTCCTCAGTGCATTCAGCTTCCAAGGGAGTCTCATGATAAGTGAAACGTCCTCGGCCTCCACTACACTCGAGATCAACATGCGTCCGCTGCGGATTCAACTCACTATCAGGCTCTTCCTCCTTGCGCTCAGAAACCGTATGCTCCTGACCCAGTGATCGCTCCTCCACAGCAGAGCTGACCCGAACCATTTTGACCTCCGCTTTCTGCTCATCAACTCCAAGAAGCTTCTTTGCTGCAGCCTTTGTCTTGGCTTTAGGTTTCGCCTTGGGATCTGCTTTTGCTTCTGCTTCTGCTTTGGATTTGGGATTAGGTGGGGTTTCTTGGGCAGTTTTCGGCGCATCTGATGACGATGAAGCCTCTGCTTGATTCACCTTGCCTTTTCCATCTTTGCCTTTGCTACCCTTGCCCTCACCCTTTCCTTTGCCTTTCTTCTCGTGCGCAAACGTGCATGCGCTGCCCTTTCTGCAACCCCCAGGTGTATGATACCACCAACACAGCCGTTTATTTGGAGTGGGATCGGTTGCAGCAGCTGCTACCAACGAATCCCCAGCGCTAGAGCCCTTGATCCGCTCGTCAGCCGCTAAATCCAAGCACTCCCTTTCAAGCATGCCCAAAACTTGAGCTACACCTGCCGCCGTAGGCCTGGTCGAAGTTGCCGGGTCCAATCGTAGGATGTTGAGGCGCATCTGTAACGATCCATTCTTACGTTCCAAGTTCTTTGCAATGGCCAACGCAGCTCTCAAACCTTCAGGTGGCGCTAGTTCTGGTAGCGCAAGTTGCTTGACCCTAGATAGAGCTAAGTTGTATCTGCGCAAAACCTTGGCCATCTCCTGAAACGTGTTTGCCACAGCGGGAAATCGCACAAACTTCTGCAGGCTTGTCATTTCTTCGGTACCACCGGGTTGATGTCTTGTAAGCACAGCCAAACAAAGCGCCACAGCTGTAATGCTAAGTCCGCTGGCCTCTTCAATCACTGGTTGCTTGAGTTCTTCAGGGATTGTTCTCAAAAGCATGCTTGTCAACCTTCCGTCCCATTCTATGTTCTGGCCCTCAACTTTTGGCGCCTTGGCCCGAACACGAGACTGAAGCTGCTCATCGTGAAGGCTCTGTGCCTTCGTCCAACATGCATCGGCGAAAACCCCAAACTCTTGCATAACACCTCGACAAATGGTATGCATCTGAGCTCTCCAAGAGTGAAATGTCATCCCAGCCTCCCAAGGTGTCGTACCCCTAGCTATCTGCAGAATGGGAACGTCCTTGAGGATTTTCCATCGTCCTTCAGGAACACTTCATTTGGAGTACGACATGGATTCGCCAAGAGATTCATCTGGAAGCTCACCTAGCCCAAGCGGCGCCCCCTGATTCCCAGCTTCAATGTCATACCCACCACTTCGTGATGTGCTTTGACTTTGCCGGCTTTCCTGATTTGTATCCTCCCTTTGGCGTTGCAAATGGCTAGGTAACCGTGGGGGAGGTTCTCCCAATCCGGGATTTATACCCTCCTCAGGTAACTGCCACCAGCCTTGCTCCCAGGTTTGCTCTGTGTTGTCACGTGTCCCTGGCCCGGAGACATCTCAAAAATCCGCGGTCTACCTGCTACAGGATGTGCATCACGCTGTTCCAAGGTACTCAACCGATGAGCTAAAAGCCTGTCTAGCAGCGGTCTCTGCCTCAAGCTTGTCTTCAAGGATACTGCGAAGCCTTTTCTCCTCCTGTAGTTGCTTTACAACCACCTCTATCTGCCTGCGGTGTCCACTTAGGGCCTCTAAGTAGGCACGTGGCGGTTCTTGCTCTCCTGCATCTCGTTGGGCCGGACGGGTCAAATCACCCGGTCTGGGCTGACCCTCTCCCTGCTGACGGCTTTGCAAAGCAAGATCCAACTTCGCGTCACATGCTGCCGAGCTTGCCTGAAGTGTCCCTACGGCCTCCTGAAGCAATGCCAGCTCTGATCTGATGCTGTCCAGACGAGATTGATCTACCATCATGCCAAGTCTCTGCACATCAGATATTGTGTTACGCAACGAAGCTTGCTGCATCTTGTCAGCCTCTGTATACGCTACCCACCGGCCCTCCTGCTGAATCTCAAACTGCTCAAGCTGGCGCATCAAATGTCTATGCTGACTGTGCAATCCCCGAAGCTGATCATCCGTAGCAGCGAAAAGAGTCTCATACAACCCATGCCTCTGAGACATAGTTTGCACCACCTCTTGAAGCTGCCGTGTCTGCTCAAGCTGCTGCACTGCTTCGACGGGGATATGAATGCTTGTGAGCTGTCTCAGTAAGATGCCCAGTTGCTGAGGACTAGTGGGATTTTCAGGAGCGTTTTGGGCGACCATATCCTGACATTGATCTGGAGATAAAGCATCGGTAACATTACGGTAGTGAGACGGGGCTGGGGACTCCATCATTCAAACCTGAAACCTCAATCTGCACCTTGACCTGTTTCACCTTGAAATCCAGCCCGCCTCCACAATCAAGCTCCGAATAAGCCCTCACACCCCAAATCATGCCCATCCCCCCGAAGGGTCTGAGCATACACTTCTTTGCCTTGAGCCATTGCATGGGCGAGGTTGCGTGTCATCCTTGCAGTGGCCATGCTTCGATAGCCCGGCACACACTTCCGATTTGTGCGTGTCATCCTGGCAGGGAGCATGTGTCGCAACCCCTACAGGACCCCAAATAAGGACCCTTCAATCAGGAGCCCTAATTAAGAAGACTCCCTCATAAGGACAGACCCTTGACAACTACCTTTTCGGAGGACCCCTAGACGGGACTACCGGTTCAGAGTGTTGAAACGGTTTCAGTGAGAGGCTCCATTTTTGAGGCACCGCTTACTGCCTAAAATGTTTCAACGGTTCAAACGAGAGGGCCCATTTTTGAGGCATCGTTTGAACTGTTTATAAACCCTTTAAAAGGTTTGAGCGCGAGGCCCCGTTTTCCGAAGCATCGGGAACACAGCTTAACATCCCTAATGGGCGAGGACCTTGATAGGGGCCCATAATTTTTTGAGGACCCCCTTGTGAGGATTCACTTCCAACGGTTTAAACGCCCCTGAGCTAGACCTGCATAGGAGCCGACTGAGGACCGGCGTAATACGGAGCCCTAATAAGATTCCCTCGTAAGAGGACCCTGATGAGGACACTATTTGTCACGTCAGCCCCAATTTTAAACGGCACCCTTTCAACGGGTTGGCATGAAGGACCTTATCTGAGAAACGTCTAACGAGGCCCTGAATATTCCGTAGCAGAACCTGCAATGAGAGCTTACACCGAACAGCCTGTTTGTTCACGTGGAGAGATTTCCAGGACGCCTAATGCGGACTTGACGAAGGACCCATTATTGGGACAGCCAATGGTGAGAACCGAAAAGGACCTTCAATAGGGACACCAAGGTTTACAGCATTTGTTTCAACTCTGAACGTCCAGGAGCCCAAGCACTCAGGGAGACAAGAAGACACAACAAGCCCAGGAACTAGAAAGAAGGGAGAGAACACGCCGAAGGCCACCCACACAAAGTGGGACAAGGGGAGACAAAACAACGCAAGAGGTCCAGTTACGATAATCGTAACAAGAGAACAACGGGGAACAAGAAGTCCAGGAATGCAGGAGAGGCCGCCCGCAGGAAGGGACACAAAGGCAAACAAAGGAGACACAAAAACAGCGAAACCCAAGGCTGCCAACTGGTAGGCAGACATGGCGCGCACGAAGCCGGAAAAGGCCACCCACAGGAAGGGAGACAAGAGGACCAAGGAGGACACAATAAGTCCAGGAACCCGGCAAAGGCTACCAGAAGGGAGACATGGGAGACAAAGGGAGACAGCGAGTCCAGGGACCCGGCAAAGGTCACCCACAAGAAGGGAGACAACGGAAGACAAGAAGAACAAGAAGCCCAGGAACCCGACAAAGGTTGGCCACAAGACCGGAGACAAATGGTCATATAGTCGGCGATCCTCACAAGAGTTAAGACATGTTAAGACCCTCCCCCCACAGTGGAAATGTACCAGTTATGTTTTGAGACAACACCGGTGTTTTCCGGGTGGTGCAGTAAAGTTCATCTTCAAACGAGGTGACATGAGGCAGCACTCAACTAACTAAGTGCTTGCACGAATCCGGTTGGGATGACTTGGGACATCCTATGGCAAGCAGCACTCCATTTTCTGCCGCTACTGCGTACTGCTCCCACGATTCTTTCTGCTGGTATTCTGACTCATGTCACTGGTCACCAGCATGGCTGCCACTGCCGCGACGACAAGAATTGCCACTCGCAATTGCTGCTATTTTTTAGGCAGCAGCTTGGAGTCAGTGGGTGGGGTGTTCCAATTTAAGCAGTTTTTCGGTTTGTGATTTCCTCTCTTGCTGTCCAGCCGAACGAAGAAGGAAAGAACAAACATAACAAATCAAAGTGAAAGGTGACGGACAGGCGGAAGGAAGTGAGAAGCAAGACAACAAAATCAAGAACTGACAAAACCATATGGCCCCGTGATGCCCGAGTCAGTAAGCTCAAAGGATTCATCAAGTTCACAGCAAGCCAGGGATTCGCCTAAAGTGATGAAGACAAAGTTCCAGAGGCCCTGAAAACACTTCTGTCTTGGAAGCCACCATCTTGTGTCCTGTGTTGACCATGGCCGAGAAGAATTGCAGAAGCCTATCATGGTCAAGTTTGGGAATGCTCTTGCAAGAGTGAGCTGCCAGTGCTAAGACCACCTTCCACCAGGCATCCTTCGTGGTGAATTGCAAAGCGGCACCAAGTCTTACGTCCAGCGGCCATGTGCGTTGCCTCGCTCAATTTTGGAAGCAAACCTTGCAAAGCGCAGATTGCAGCTGCTTGTTGGAAGTCATTGTCATTGACTGCTGGCATGAAAATTAGAGCGAAGGCCTTTTACACTCTGCAAGCGGGACATAAAACATTAACATGTTGGTTGCACCCTGACCTTGTTTCGTTATCAATCACCCCTTCCACGTCTGCGGATACAGCTTCCTTCCTAATCTATCCAAACGATGAATTTCACCACTCTCTTTACACTGAAGACCTGTAGGATTAGCATGCGCAACGCCACGGCATCAACAACCTTGACAGCAATCAGCTGCTGCTGCTGCTGCTACTGCTGCTACTACTACTGCTACGATTACCACTACCACTACCACGGCTACTACTACGACTCAGCTGCTGCTGCTACTACTACTACTACTACTACTAGTAGCCGCCCCCCGCTCCCTGCCAACTATGTTCCCTTAAATGTCAGGCATGGACTGTCAAGAGCACAAGCGGAAGAGGGTTGGTGTGGAACGTGCCTCACCCACGCAAAATCATCAAACATGCTGTAAATGCCAATGGTTTTTGCATGTGCGCTCTTCAAATTG